CATATACATACATACCCCTCTGGGTTTTCTTCTATTTTCTTTCTAGTTCTTGTTCCTGTTTATTTCCTCTTATCTCCATGGGGAAGTGGAACAGAATTCTTCCTCCGTAAGCCATGCGTGTCGTAAGAGGCGACTAAAATGCCGGGAGCAAGGGGTTAGTAACCCCTTCTCCTGTATATGTTATTACATGTAAAAGGAGAAACTTCCATTTTTCCTTTTGGGCCACCCCGCCTTGATGGGATACAGCCGGTGTGTTGAAAGAAAGAAAGATTTGTATAATAACTAAGGGGCAGGATCCATATGAAAAGAATAAATCAGTAGGATTTGATGACATGATAAGCATAGACAAAGCAGCGATATAATCACATATATACACACACAGCCTTTACGTAAGAGACTGAAACTTATGATGACGTCTTGGTCCTACTTGGAATATTAAGTAATCAGAGTGTGGCTAGTTAATGGTCAAAGTCAGACTGAAATCTCATCATAAGTTTGGGTATCCTATGTATGGGACATTTGTTTCAATCACAGTACAGCTTCTCCCCACCTAGCAACGTATTCGTTTACCGACGCTTCGGACTTATGATGGGCTCTCAGACCAGTATGCATACCTAAATAATGTATATTAGAGCTAATTTCCTCTATTCTGTTTATTACAATATACAGAACACTACTGTATAAACATTTAAAAATATACCAGAAATATTATAAATGGTGCAGAGGTGGCACTAAAACAATATTCAATTCAATTCACTTCAGTTCAAGTTTATTCTCTATAATGGTTACAATGTGGCGTTTACAGCTTTTGGGTATTTTGTGGTTTACATGTTATAAAATACTAATTACAGAGGGAGCCACTAGGACACCTAGCATGGCTAGGCATTTCGAGCAGACTTAGATTAATTCTTAACATTAAACCCTTACAGATTATGGTATTAAGGCTAAGTGACTACATCATAATTTGTGAGTTTAGCAATGTGAATGCTTTTGTTTTGGCACAATACAAGGTGTCTATATCTGAGTATCATAGGCAAACTTATAGCTGGTTGACACAAACTCACTACCATTATAGTATACTCCTCACTTAGCGATGAATTCGTTTACCGACGTGGTCTTAGGAACAGAACTCCATTGTTAAGTGAGGAGAGGCTATATTATGCCTTTTTATTTAATTAAATATAGTTAAGAATGTTGCTTAAATATATGTACTGTTGAGTTCACCAAGAGAACTTTTACAAGCAAGTTAATATTTCTTTTGAGCGTCATGTACAGTAGGACCCCACTTATTCGGCAGGTTAGGTTCCAGGCTACTGCTGCAAAGCAGAACTCCATTTTTTTTCCATTTATAAATGCATATAAATGCCAGATAAGTTTACACTAACATATATTAAGTTAGCAGTATAACAAGGCATTAAAAAGTAAAATACACACACAGTACACTCATTATTTACCTCAGAATATTTGTAGTCTTAATGTAGGGCAAAAGGTGAGTAGTATTTACTCTAAGAAGTCAGGTGTGGTAGCCCTCCTGGCCACCCCACCCACACATACTATACTACGATGCTTAAAGCTCCCTAGAGCAATAAAATGCACATACAATAGACACATTACTTACCTTAAAATATTTGTAGTCTAATGGTCTTAATGTAGGGTGAGAGGTGAAAAGTATTATTTGTAGAAAGTCGTGTGGGAGGTACAGCATCCTGCCTGGCCACTCCCACCTACTATGACATTAAGCTCCCTAGAGTGATAAAATGCATATATAGTACACTCATTAATTACCTTAACCCTTTGACTATCGCGGCCGTATATATACGTCTTACGAGGTACCGTGTTTGACGTATATATACTCATAAATTCTAGCGGCTTCAAATCAAGCAGGAGAAAGCTGGTAGGTCCACATGTGAGAGAATGGGTCTGTGTGGTCAGTGTGCACCATATAAAAAAAATCCATGGAGCACGCAGTGCATAATGAGAAAAAAAAACTCCGACAGTTTTTTTTAATTAAAATGCCGACTTTGTGGTCTATTTTCGTATAGTATTTATGGTTGTATTCTCGTTTTCTTGGTCTCATTTGATAGAATGGAAAACATATTATAGAAATAGAAGTGATTTTGATTGATTTTACTATAAAAAGAATCTAGAAATGGAGCTCAAAGTAGGGGAAATGTTTGATTTTTGCCAATGTTCATAAGTAAACAAAATGATGCCATTGTCCAATAATGTCCAACTAGCCATTCTAATATGCAGTCATGAATGGGTTGATGTTATTTATACAGTTATTACAGTATTGCAGTAGTCTGCATAATGGTAAGTCTTCTATTTTTTGTTTGAATAAAAATTCAAAATAGAAAGCAAGAGTAATATCAGAGTGGCCTGGAGACATGACTGATGAACAAAGAAAATGTTATATTAGAGCCAGGAATGTCTGCATTGTTCATTCTGGACCTTATTTTGAAATTGTCATATTTTTTAGTTTTCGTGAAATTGGCCAAATTGCAAATTTCTGACCACATTACAGTGGACCCCCGGTATTCGATATTAATCCGTTCCTGAGAGCTCATCGAATACCGATAATATCGAAAACCGAATCAATTTTCCTCATAAGAAATAATGGAAATCAAATTAATCCGTGCAAGACACCCAAAAGTATGAAAAAAAAAAATTTACGACATGAAATATTAAGTTTAATGCAATAGAATAATTACAATAACAATAAAATAATTGACACTTACCTTCAATGAAGATCTCGTGATGATTGATAGGATGGGAGGAGGGGAGAGGTGCTAGTGTTTAGAAGGGGAATCCCCTTCCATTAGGACTTGAGGTAGCAAGTCCTTTTCCGGGGTTACTTCCCTTCTTCTTTTAATGCCACTAGGACCAGCTTGAGAGTCACTGGACCTCTGTCGCACAACAAATCTGTCCATAGAGCTCTACCTCCCGTTCCTTTACGATTTGTCTAAAATGGGCCACAACATTGTCATTGTAATAGTCACCAACACGGCTTGCAATAGCTCTCTGAGGGTGATTTTCATCCATAAAGGTTTGCACTTCAACCCACTGTGCACACATTTCCTTAATTTTTGAAGTAAGCACAATGGATTCCACAACTGGCATAGGCTTCTCAGGGTTAGTCCCAAACCCTTCAAAATCTTTCTTAATTTCCATACTAATTCTCACCCTTTTTACCACAGGGTTGGCACTAGAAGCTTTCTTGGGGCCCATGGTGACTTATTTTGCAGAAACAAGCACTAAACTCACTGATAATATGGAATGTACCGAATGTATCCTTAGATGCGCACACACTGCCTGGCTTGTAAACACTGGCACACATGGGGCAGTTCAGGTCACACATGGACAGGTCTCGTACGAATCATATCGAATACCGGGTTTTCAATCGAATACCGAGGAAAATTTTTTGCGATATAATGCATCGAATACTGGATTTATCGAATACCGATGCCATCGAATACCGGGGTCCACTGTATTAGGTAGTTGAAATCGGTAAATGGGCAGTTTCTTGTACGCATTCGATAGAAAAAATGGAGTTCTGAAGAAATAGCTATGAGTTTGGGCGACTGGAACAACGGAATTAGCCGAAAATAGGGCTCCAAGTGGGTGAAATCGCCGATTTGTAAACAGCGCCGAGGTCGCTAACTTCGCGAGAGCATAATTCCGTCAGTTTTCCATCAAATTTCGTTTTTTTTGGTGTCGTTACAATTGGGAAAAGATTCTCTATCATTTCATAAGAAAAAATAATTTTTTTTTTTTGTTTTTAAATTTTGCGACACCAGGAGACACCTTAGGATTGGGGGTTGCGACAGTCAAGGGGTTAAAATATTTGTAGTCTTAATGTAGGGTGAGAGGTGAGGTTTATTATATGAAGTCAGGTTGGGAAGTATGGGTTAGCCAGGAAGGGCAGCCCTCCCCACCCCACCCACACATAATGTAAACAAACCAGATGAACGTGTCTGGTTTTCATCACAAGTCCTACAAGTTGCCTGGCTACCACAAGTCCTACAAGTTGCCTGGCTACCACATCTCATATTTGTTAATTTATTCTACTGTGGGGTGTATTTAGATGGATTAAGCAAAATGTCTATGTTAACGTTTTATACAATATTTAGTGCTCCTTAGAGAGATTATTATTGTTATTATTATCATCATCATTAATATGGCATCTTCAAGACTAATAAGATACTCTTAGTGATTTTAATGTGTACCTGCATGCCAGCACAGTGTGTAAGTTTACTTAGGTACAGGTACACATGTGTGTGTAATTATTAGTTATAATAATGCAGGTATGTAGTCCGCCTGGGCTACATAGCTACATGATATTTAATGCAGCCCAGAGCCATATTATTACCATCAACATACCATGTTCACTGAGTTTAATCGTTTCTAACTACCTTTAGATGTCATCAGAAACAAAGGGAGAATTAATGAATAATTCGTGCTGAGAATTGTAAACAAAAGCGTCGTGTATTAAGGGGAGTGACGTAATGTTTTCCCTCCACCCGGCTACCACATCTCCATGGTATATAAACAAAATGTTTATATGTTATGTAACATGTTTCTTATATAATTTTGAAGAAAATATACGTAGATGGATTAATGAAAATGTCTATATTAAAGTAAAATACGACATTTAATGTGCCCAAGAGTGATTATTATTACATAATAGAGATATGTGCTCATGGAGAATGTGAACAAACCGGGTGGCCCGCGCCCTGTTTGAAAAACCACTTGCTGTATAGAAAGTTTTGGTCATAATTTGAGATCGCCACATTAGCGGAATGCCGTAAGGCGAAACGCCGAAAAGCGGGGCCCTACTGTATATATAGTATACCTTCGATATACGTAACTCTGATGGGTATATCATTCATTAATCATTCAGCAGCTAGAGCAATGTCACTAGCTACTTGAAATATTAAGTTGTTCAGATTAATGCCATTAACTATCAGGGAAAACCTGACTTATTTTTTGTCTGCCTGCAGGACAGTGGAGCTTCACTTGAATGCGAGTTCCAGGGAGAAGTTCGAGGAATTGCTGAGTCCTGGGCTGCTCTGTCAGTGTGCGATGGTATTAGGCAAGTGTCCTGCTCTGTATGTCTGCTTGTCATTTTACATATCCCTTAAGCTTTGTATTTTGTCTTACTTTAGTAGTGTGACTTTTAGAATTTTTTGCCATCCTCACTTTTCGTTCTTAAATGTTTATTTACTTTTCATTTTTTTTAAGAACATGTCTTTCCCTTTAAAGTTATCCCTCATGAGAACTTATGAATCAGTGCAACTCATGCAGAGGACTTTAGGATGAATGTAACTGTGTCATACTGAAGTAACTAACTCTTCCAGTTAGCCCCTCTAAGACTAGTATCTTAAGTAATCCTAGGTAGTAGGTTGGTAGACAGCAACTGTAAAGGGAGGTACAACTGTTCTGCCAAGTGAGTGTAAAATGGAAGCCTGCACATGTAATTGTTTTACATGATGGTAGGATTACTGGTGTCTTTTTTATGTCTCATAAGCGTGCAAGATTTTGGGTACGTCTTGCTACTTCTGGGTTTTCTTCTATTTTCTTGCTTGTTTTTGTTTATTTCCTCTTATTTCCACAGGAAAGTGGAACAGAATTCTTCCTCCGTAAACCATGCATGTCATAAAAGGCGGCTAAAATGCGTGGAACGAGGGGCTAGTAACCCCTCCTGTATACATTGTTAAATTTAAAAAGAGAAACTTTTGTTTTTCTTTTTGGGCCACCCTGACTTGGTGGGATACGGCTGGTTTGTTGAAAGATCTTAAGTAATGTGTTATTTCTTTCTGATCTTTTATTATGTGGATCTGAAAATATATACAATAAAACTTCTCACTAAAGGACTAATTAACCCTTTCAGGGTCCGTGCCGTTGATCTACGGCACGGCAGCTTATCAGAGTGAGCTCAGCTCACTCTGATAAGCTGCGAGCGGTAAATTTGGGCCTAGGTATGAGAGAATACATCTATGTGGTATGTGTGCACCACATAAAACAAATCCTGCAGCACACAGTGCATAATGAGAAAAAAAACAGACCGTAATTTTCGATTAAAACAGCGACTTTGCAGTTTTTTCGTATGTTTTTTATAGTTGTATTTCCAATTTCTTGGTCTCATTTGATAGAATGAAAGATATATTACAGAAATAGAGAAGATTTTGATTGTTTTTAGTAATGGAAATTGCTTGAAACTGAGCTCAAAGAAGCAGAAATGTTAAATTTTTGCCGATGTTCAAGAGTAAACAAATGACTTCACACGTCTAATACACGCCAGCTGGTGGATCTAATATACATTCACAAATGTGGTGATATTATTTACACAATTATTACAATATTGCATAACAGTAAATCTTCTATTTTTTGGTTTGAATAAAAATTCATCATATGAATAAAAAATCAAAATGGAATTCATTTGTAAAGCCTGAAAATGTAACTAATGAACAGAGTAATTGTTAATTTAGTACCAGCAATACCTGCATTGTTTATTCTGGACCTTATTTTGAAATTAGAATATTTTGAACTTTGCATTAAATTGGACAAATTACTAATTTCCGATCACTTTATTTTGTAGTTGAAACAGTTGAGTTGGCAATTTCTTGTGCTCAATCAATAGAATAGAAGTAATACTAGTGAAATAGCTAAGAATTTGGTCAACTGGAATAATGTAATTGGCCTAAAATGTGAGTCATAGTCGGCAAAATCCCCGATACGTAAATATCGCTGACATCAAAATTCGCAAGAGCATAATTTCATCAATTTTCCATCAATTTTCATACTTTTTGTTTTATTACCTTCAGAAAAAAATTCTCTAGCATTTCATAAGAAAAAATAACAAAATTATTTTTTGAAAATTCTTGGACCCTGGTGCTCACTTTGAAATTTGGCCTTTGGACCCTGAAAGGGTTAAGGGAAAGGGATGTATGATAATGCTGAATGTCTGCAACTTCCAAATTAAGAATAAAATATTCCACGATTGTCTGATTGTCTTCTGCAGTAGTGGACTTGGTCCACTAATACAGTAGACAACTGAAAACAAACAATGTAGGTATTGTAACCTGTAGTACTACAGTACAATACTGAACTGTATACCAATTTTATAATACTCTACATAATTTACAATAATTTTACTTCCTTTTTTGTGGTGGAGAGATGAGGTGTAACTCTGAATAACTTTTATTCTTAGTAAGAGGAGCTGTAAAGCTGCTTCATTCTTCTTTCAACAAAAGGCTGTTTCCCCACTGAGGCAGAGTGGCCCAAAAAGAAAAACAAATGTTTCTCTTTTTCTTTCTTTCTTTCAACACACCAGCTGTATCCCACCGAGGCGGGGTGGCCCAAAAGGAAAAACAAAAGTTTCTCCTTTTACATTTAGTAATACAGTGGACCCTCGACTAATGCTATTAATCCGTTCCTGAGAGCTCATCGTTAGTCAAAATAATCGTTAGTCAAGTTAATTTTCCCCATAAGAAATAATGGAAATCAAATTAATCCATGCAAGACACCCAAAAGTATTGAAAAAAAAAAAATTTTAACACATGAAATATTAATTTTAATACACACAAACTGAAGAAGACATGCACAGTTACATGACACTTACCTTTATTGAAGATCTGGTGATGATTGATGGGATGGGAAGAGGGGAGTGTGTTGATAGTCTTAGTGTTTAGAAGGGGAATCCCCTTCCATTAGGACTTGAGGTGGCAAGTTCTTTTTCGGGGTTACTTCCCTTCTTCTTTTAATGCCACTAGGACCAGCTTGAGTCACTGGACCTCTGTCGCACAACACATCTGCCCATAGAGGCCTGTACCTCCCGTTCCTTTATGACATTCCTAAAGTGTTTCACAACATTGTCAGTGTCACCATTAAACACTTGTTCAGGTTTCAGTCCTTCACTGTCTATGTACTTCTTGAATTCCTGCACATATTTTTCAGTTGCTTTTTGGTCCAAACTGGCAGCCTCACCATGCCTTATCACACTATGTATGCCACTACGATTCTTAAATCTCTCAAACCAACCTTTGCTGGCCTTAAATTCACTCACATCACCACTAGTTGCTGGCATTTTTCTAATTAAATCGTCATGCAACTTCCTAGCCTTTTCACATATGATCGCTTGAGAGATGCTATCTCCTGCTATCTGTTTTTCGTTTATCCATACCAATAACAGTCTCTCAACATCTTCTATCACTTGCGATCTCAGTTTCGAAAACATAGTTGCACCTTTGGCAAGAACAGCTTCCTTGATTGCCGTTTTCTTGGCCACAATAGTAGCGATGGTTGATTGGGGTTTTGTGTACAGCCTGGCCAGCTCGGAGACATGCACTCCACTTTCATACTTAGCAATGATCTCTTTCTTCATATCCATAGTAATTCTCACCCTTTTTGCTGTAGGGTTGGCACTAGAAGCTTTCTTGGGGCCCATGGTGACTTATTTTGCAGGTGCAATCACTAAAAAGGCTGTGATAATATGAAATGTTCTGATTGTATGCTTGGAAGCGACCGCGGTGGCTGGCTGGCTTGTAAACACTGGCCAGAAGTGGACGCGTCTGAGACGGAACGAATAGTGTTGGTCGAGTTTTTTAGCGCTAATCGAGGCAAAATTTTTGCGATAAAATGTATCGCTAGTCAGATTTATCGTTAATTGATGCCATCGCTGGTCGAGGGTCCACTGTATATACAGGAGAAGGGGTTACTAGCCCCTTGCTCCCGGCATTTTAGTCGCCTCTTACAACACGCATGGCTTACGGAGGAAGAATTCTGTTCCACTTCCCCATGGAGATAAGAGGAAATAAAAAAGAAGAAGAACCAATAAGAAAAAAGAAAACTCAGAGGGGTGTGTGTACATATATGCTTACACAAATAACCCACACATAGAAGAGAGGAGCTTATGATGATGTTTCAGGCCAACTTGGACCATTTACAAAGTCACACTAACAAAAATATGAGCAGAAAGGGTATATATAGGCAGGAGGTGGTGGTAGTAGTAGTAGTAGTAGTAGTACTAGTAGTAGTAGTAGTGGAGGTGGAAGGAAGTAGTAGTGGGGAGATAGTAAGAGGAGAAGGACCCAGTCAAATACTAAGAAACAGGAGCACTGCAAGGAAGCTAGGTGCCCACAGAGGGTAAGAGCAAGAACACCGAAGGGGGGGGGGGGGGAATAAATAAAGAAGGAACAAATACACAGGGCAGAAGGAAGACAACCCAAAGGAGAAAAAGGAAAGAGGAAAGGGGAAGAGGGAGAAGAAGACAAAGGAGGAATCAGGTTAGGTCATGGGTGTTCTGAAGTTTGGAGCATTTTACAGTGTAGTGGGAAAGGAAGGCCTCTACAGAGACGAAGCCAGGACTAAAATTCATACAAGGAAATTTGTGTATTAGGATTCAACCAGATGGCGACTGTTAAAGTGGGAAGTAGGGAAGACAATTTTAGCAGAAGACCAGCAATAGGATGGGCACCTAGCTCCCTTGCAGTGCTCTTCTTTCTTAGTATTTGACTGGCTCCTCCTCCTCTTACTACCTCCCCACTACTACTTCCTTCCACCTCCACTACTACTACTACCTCCTGCCTGTATATACCCTCATTGTAAGCTCCTTTCTTCTACGTGCGGGTTATTTGTGTATTGTTCCAGTCATGGTATTGTGCCTTTTTTTTGTTATATATATGCTTGTACATGCATGTGTAGTGTGACCTAAGTGTAAGTAGAAGTAGCAAGACGTATCTGAAATCTTGCATGTTTATGAGACAGAAAAACGACACCAGCATTCCTACCATCATGTAAAACAATTACAGGCTTTTGTTTTACACTCACTTGGCAAGATGGTAGTACCTCCCTGGGCGGTTGCTGTCCACCAACCTACTACCTAGGACACTGTTTCTTAACATCATATTCCTCACATACCTGTGCCACTAAGGTACCAGATTTAAACTTCTTTTTTAATTCAATCACATGTTTTCTCTTGGCACCATCACTTCCTTTAGAAGCCATTATTAATTGCACTTCACTTAATTTGTTATTAAAGTCACATAAAATTCTCTAAATCCTGGGAAAATTAGTCTTAATGGTGAGTGTATGCATGAGTCAGCACAAATAATAAACTAGTGCAGGTGGCCTATGGCTCAGTGAACAGTGAAAATGGACAGTTCCTAGATGTGGCCCTTTGACAAATACCAAGCAAATGTTGCATGTGAACGCTTTGGCTAGTACGGGACAAACATTGGAGTTAGCAGACTTGGCTCGATAGTTCAGAAGACAACTAAACACTATTGCCATGAAGAGAATTCAGAATTACAGACTTTTCTTCATTTTATCCGATAGAGTATTTATCCTGCCAATTTTTTGTCCGAAATTGCCAAAATCCGTTACTGAGAAGTTTTACTACAGTGTATTGTTATTGATTTTAGTGTAATGAATACACAACCTGACAACAGGTTTCTAAAACCCAGGGTTCTAAAAATTCTGTGACACTAAAATTGACCCTAAATTTCCCCATCTGATAAGTTTAATGATAGGGAACATAGATTGGTACACAGTAGCCATCCAGGGAGTTCCTACCATCCTGTTATACAAGTGTGCAACAGAAGCCTGTTAAATGTTTTTAACTTTTACTTAACCCTTTGAGGGTCGACAGGCCCTCTCCGAGACTCGTTCTCAGGGTCGGCCAAATTTAAAAAAAAATAATAATTTTCTCTTATGAAAAGATAGAGAATCTTTTCCCAATCATAATGACACCAGAAGTTTGAAATTTGATGGAAAACTTACAGAATTATGCTCTCGCGAAGTTAGCGGTCTCGGCGATGTTTACGCATCGGCGATCTTGCCCACTTTGAGCCCCATTTTCGGCCAATTCCACTGTACTAGTCGACAAAAAACATGAATATTTCACTAGAACTCCATTTTTTCTATTGAATGAGTGCAAGAAACCACCCATTTATCAATTTCAACTATCCAGTACAGTGGTCAGAATTTAGCAATTTTGCCAATTTCACACATTTCAAAAAATGCCAATTTCCGAATAGGGTCCAGAATAAACAAGAAAGACATTCCTGGCACTAAAATGACATTTCCTCTGTTCATTAGTCACGTCTCAAGGCCCCTCTTACATTCTTTTGCTTTCCACTTTGAATTTTTATTCTCACAAAAAATAGAAGATTTACTGTTATGCAGACTACTGCATTAGTGTAAAAAGTGGTATAAATAATATTGGCGCACTTGCGAAAGAATATTAGACTCGCCAGTTGACGTGTATTGGATGCTTGGAATGATTTGTTTACTTTTGAACTTTGGTAAAAATTGAACATTTCTGTTACTTTGAGCTCAATTTCAAGGTACTTTTCATTGCAAAAATCATCTCAATTTCTGTAATATGTCTTCCATTCTATAAAATGAGACCAAGAAAACTAGAATACAACAATAAATACTATACAAAAATACAGTGCAAAGTCGCTGTTTTATTCCAAAAAAACGGTCATTTTTTTTTTCTCATTATGCACTGTGTGCTGCAGGATTTTTTTATACTGTGCACACTGACCACATAGACCCATTCTTTCATATGTAGGCCTACCAGCTTTCTCCCACTAGATTTGAGGGCGCTAGAATTTAGGCGTACTAGTACGTCAAAAACCCTGGGTCATAAGCCGTACTAGTATGGCCAAAACCCTCAAATGGTTAATCTCAGTATACTGTAATAATAATAATTTGAACTGGCAGAGTTGATGGTCTTTTGTCTTAAGAGAACTTAATTATGCAGACTAATAGCATTTACTTTTCTGTGTTTGTTCTTATTCCTTTATTACCACCATCATCACCACTGCTGCCACCGCCCCCGGCTGCTGCTAATACTACTACTTACTATGAGTAATAATTTTATGCGCTAGGTGGCTCATTGACCACAGACAGCCCTTGCAAAGTACAGTAAACACGTGATTTAATGAACTAATATTCAAGGAGTGGGTGGTCAGTAATGGCAAATTTGATGTACTGAGCTGAGAATGTGTTGCCATGATTTTAACGATAACGGACAATTCTGTAAACAGCAGACTTTGTCCGTCATGTCTGAATCAGTTGACCCAGTGAATTTTGTCCCATGTATTTGATGCTTATTAAATTAAGATCCATTAAATCAAGAAATTATTGTAGCAAGTTGAGTCTGATACATGCATAGTGCTTGTCTACTGGGTTTTTAAATGACTATCAGTGTTGTACTTGCAGCTTCCAGTGACCTGTAACTGAAGAAACTCTTTAACCCATTTTAGTGTTGCATGTTCTGCCTTTAGTTTTCCTTCCATTGTTTCAGATTATTGGTGTGTTTTGCAGTTCAAATTGTCCTCAATGTCTTGAGTGTATGAAATAGATGGAGGGAGGGAGAGAGGAAAAGCAGGGGGATGAGGGATGAGGAAGGGGAAAGGGAAGTAGGTTGAAGGAAAGGGATAAAGGTAAAGGAGAGAGAGAGAGAGAAAAAGGAAGGAAGGCCAGGTTGAAAGCATGTGTTTAACCCTTTGAGGGTTGCCAGGCCCTCTCAGAGACTTGTTCTCAGGGTTGCCAAAATTTAAAAAAAAAAAAAAAAAAAATTTTTTCTTATGAAAAGATAGAGAATCTTTTCCCGATCATAATGACACCAAAAGTATGAAATTTGATGGAAAACTTACGGAATTATGCTCTTGCGAAGTTAGCGGTCTCGACGATGTTTACGCATCGGCAATTTTGCCCACTTTGAGCCCTATTTTCGGCCAATTCCACTGTACTAGTCAACAAAAATCATAAATATTTCACTAGAACTCCATTTTTTTCTATCGAATGAGTACAAGAAACCACCCATTTACCGATTTCAACTATCCAATAAAGTGGTCAGAATTTAGCAATTTTGCCAATTTCACACAAATTTCAAAAGATGCCAATTTCCAAATAGGGTCCAGAATAAACAAGACATACATTCCTGGCACTAAAATAACAAGTTCTCTGTTCGTTAGTTACGTCCCCAGGCCCCTCTTACATTTCTTTTGCTTTCCACTTTGATTTTTTATTCTCACAAAAAAAATAAGATTTACTGTTATGCAGACTACTGCATTAGTGTAGAAATGGTATAAATAATATCGGCACACTTGTGAAAGAATATTAGACTCACCAGTTGACGTGTATTGGACGCTTAGCATGATTTGTTTACTTTTGAACTTTGGTAAAACTCGAACATTTCTGCTACTTTGAGTTCAATTTCAAGATACTTTTCATTATAAAACCAGTCAAAATCATCTCAATTTCTGTAATATGTCTTCCATTCTATAAAATGAGACCAGGAAAACTAGAATACAACAATAAATACCATACGAAAATACAGTGCAAAGTCGCTGTTTTAAACCAAAAACACGGTCAAAGATTTTTTTTTCTCATTACGCACTGTGTGCTGCAGGATTTTTTTTATACTGCACACACTGACCACATAGACCCATTCTTTCATGTGTAGGCCTACCAGCTTTTTCTTGCTAGATTTGAGGGTGCTAGAATTTATGCGTACTAGTACGTCAAAAACCCTGGCGCTTAAGCCGTACTAATACGGCCGAAACCCTGAAAGGGTTAAGTGGTGACAATGTTGGGGTTACTTGATATCCTATTGTATAGTAGTTTTGCACTGGTTTTCCTAGATTAGTCACGGCTACATGGTTCTTGTACACTTGTACAGAGGCGTGATAGTGGGTGGAGCAAAAGAACTGCTGGTTGAGCCTGCTCCAGGTACCTTGACTTCTGAGGGTCCACACCGTATCGTCTCCACTAACCACCTTCATCACTCAGCAGGAGCATGTGGTGGGTGAATTTCTCAGTTTTGCAAGTGCCTCTATGCATTGTTGGTCATGAGGAAAATAAGATGGGATTCACAATTTGTTTTTGATAAAATTTTAATGCCACCAAATTTGCAATATTATAGAAAGGCAATTTTGAGAATTTTTTTTGTGAATTGGCATATTTTATGAAATAGGAAAACATAAAATAGTGGACTGTTTTAGTAACATCATGTATATTGTATAAAATTAAAACAAGTACTGTGTTGTTTGTATAAATGTAAAATGCTATATATTTATTTCATGTTCTAATTGAGGTGGGGATACAGTACAAATGGATTTGTCCATTAAAAACAGTAGGAGAGTTAGTAGATGGGGAGATGAAGGTATTGGGAAGATAGCGAGAATATTTTGAGGAACTTTTAAATGTCGACGAAGAAAGGGAGGTGGTAATTTCATGCACTGGCCAGGGAGGTATACCATCTTTTAGGAGTGAAGAAGAGCAGGATGTAAGTGTGGGGGAGGTGCGTGAGGCATTACGTAGAATGAAAGGGGGTAAAGCAGCTGGAACTGATGGGGTCATGACAGAAATGTTAAAAGCAGGGGGGGGATATAGTGTTGGAGTGGTTGGTATTTTTGTTTAATAAATGTATGAAAGAGGGGAAGGTACCTAGGGATTGGCGGAGAGCATGTATAGTCCCTTTATATAAAGGGAAAGGGGACAAAAGAGATTTTTAAAAGTTATAGAGGAATTAGTTTACTGAGTATACCAGGAAAAGCGCACAGTAGGGTTATTATTGAAAGAATTAGAGGCAAGACAGAATGTAGGATTGTGGATGAACAAGGAGGTTTTCGAGTGGGTAGAAGATGTGTAGATCAGGTGTTTACATTGAAGCATATATGTGAGCAGTATCTAGATAAAGGTAGGGAAGTTTTTATTGCATTTATGGATTTAGAAAAGGCATTTGATAGAGTGGATAGGGGAGCAATGTGGCAGATGTTGCAAGTATATGGAATAGGTGGTAAGTTACTAAATGCTGTAAAGAATTTTTATGAGGACAGTGAGGCTCAGGTTAGGGTGGGTAGAAGAGAGGGAGACTACTTCCTGGTAAAAGTAGGTCTTAGACAGGGATGTATAATGTCACCATGGTTGTTTAATATATTTATAGATGGGGTTGTAAAAGAAGTAAATGCTAGGGTGTTAGGGAGAGGGGTGGGATTAAATTATGGGGAATCAAATACAAAATGGGAAGTGACAGTTACTTTGTGCTGATGATACTGTGCTTATGGGTGATTCTGAAGAAAAGTTGCAGAGGTTAGTGGACGAATTTGGGAGTGTGTGTAAAGGTAGAAAGTTGAAAGTGAATATAGAAAAGAGTTAGGTGATGAGGGCATCAAATGATTTAGATAAAGAAAAATTGGATATCTAATTGGGGAAGAGGAGTATGGAAGAAGTAAATGTTTTCAGAAATTTGGGAGTTGACATATCAGCGGTTGGATTTATGAAGGATGAGGTTAATCATTGAATTGATGAGGGATAAAAGGTGAGTGGTGCGTTGAGGTATATGTGGAGACAAAGAACGTTATCTATGGAGGCAAAGAAGGGAATGTATGAAAGTATAGTGGTACCAACACTCTATAGAAGGTGGTTGGAGGCAGTGGAGATGTCCTGTCTAAGGGCAATGTGCGGTGTAAATATTATGGAGAAAATTCGGAGTGTGGAAATTAGGAGAAGGTGTGGAGTTAATAAAAGTATTAGTCAGAGGGCTGAAGAGGGGTTGTTGAGGTGGTTTGGTCATTTAGAGAAAATGGATCAAAGTAGAATGACATGGAGAGCGTATAAATCTGTAAGGGAAGGAAGGCGGGGTAGGGGTCGTCCTCAAAAGGGTTGGAGGGAGGGGTAAAGGAGGTTGTGTGGGCAGGGGCTTGGATTTCCAGCAAGCATGCGTGAGCGTGTTAGATAGGAGTGAATGGAGACGAATTTTATTTGGGACCTGATGAGCTGTTGGAGTGTGAGCAGGGTAATATTTAGTGAAGGGATTCAGGGAAACCAGTTATTTTATATAGCCGGACTTGAGTACTGGAAATGGGAAGTACAGTGCCTGCACTTTAAAGGAGGGGTTTTAGGATATTTGCAGTTTGGAGAGATATGTTGCATATCTTTATACTTATATACTTCTAAATTGTTGTATTCTGAGCACCTCTGCAAAAACAGTGATTGTGTGAATGAGGTGAAAGTGTTGAATGATGATGAAAGTATTTTCTTTTTGAGGATTTTCTTTCTTTTTGGATCACCCTGCCTCGGTGGGAGACGGCGGACTTGTTAAAAGAAAAATATACAGCACACTGTACAGTGGACCCCCGGTTTACGATCAGCTCCCAATGCGACCAATTATGTAAGTGTATTTATGTAAGTGTGTTTGTATGTGTACGTTTGGGGGTCTGAAATGGACTAATCTAATTCACAAAATTCCTTATGGGAACAAATTCGGTCAGTACTGGCACCTGAACATACCTCTGGAGTGAAATAATATCGTGAACCGGGGTCCACTGTACTATTTAAATTTAATTCTTTTATAATATCCAAGATATAAATATTAAACAAATTATAAAATAAAGCAATATATGATAAGTTTTTTATAATATTAACCAGCGGTACACAGCATAATGTAGGATATTATATATTCTCATGCATTCCAGTAGTTATACAGACTTTGTAGTTTATAAAGAGGAGTTTTTGCTTTGCCTTATGACATAAATATTATTAAATAATACAATGCGGTAGTAGAAGTGCAATAAACCTTTGGAGATCTGTTTTACTAAGTTAAAAAAAAAAAAAAAGAAAAGACATGTATAATAGCCCACAAGAATTGCATTTGTGCAGTGTATTTTTGTCAGTCTTAGTAGTGTAACTAGTGCCTATAGTACCTGTCTGTGTTGTCTTTTGTAGAGGAATTTGATATTTAAGAATATTTAATGTTAATTTTCCAGGAGTAATGAGTAGCAGGCACAGCAGTAGTAGAGAGAGAACTGATGGAGTCTTGAAAAGGGTAGGTACTATTTCAAGTGTTTCACATACTGTACTTAAGAGGGCCTTACAAATGTAAGGTTTACCACATATATATTACAGTAATTCTGTTTAAAACTAAAGTTGAGCTAAGATAAGATTTCGTTCGGATTTTTAACCCCGGAGGGTTAGCCACCCAGGATAACCCAAGAAAGTCAGTGCGTCATCGAGGACTGTCTAACTTATTTCCATTGGGGTCCTTAATCTTATCCCCCAGGATGCGACCCACACCAGTCGACTAACACCCAGGTACCTATTTGCTGCTAGGTGAACAGGACAATAGGTGTAAGGAAACGTGTCGGAATTTCCACCTGCCGGGAATCGAACCCGGGCCCTCTGTGTGTGAAGCTGGAGCTTTAGCCACCAGACCACCGGGCCACAACATTATGAGATAAAAGTGATGTTAGATAAACACACAGTATTGTTTAGGCCTTCTGTGTGATGTTCGGGAATAATTCTAAAAATATTCAGATTAGGATGAAGATAAATAATACACACACATTTAAAAACAAAATGAAGGTTATTTCTTTGGTACTGAATACATAAAAAGCAAACTTCAGTTTAATAAACACACCCACTACATATGTAAGACAAGGTCTATACTATATACATACCACACTCAACACTATGGTGTATGTACATGGGAATCTATAACAATAAATAATCAAAAACCAGCCATAACCCAATAAAACTCTGCTCTTTGGATAATCACTTAATCTGATCCCATACAACACACCCTCTAATTTAAAAAACAAAAAATGAAACCTATTTAACATGTGAAGTATCCGGCCATACCTGTACTACAGTGTGTATTACATAAACCGAACATGCAGAGTACTAACTGTAAGCTACAATAATTCCTGTAGAGCAGTAACAGATCACATAGGAATAATATTAGAAATACAGTGGAACCTCAAAAATCAAACTGCTCCCAACACGACCAATTATGTAAATGTATTTTTGTAAGTGCTTTTATAAGTGTATTTTTGAGGGTCTGAAATGGACTAATCTAATTTACATTATTCCTGATGGGAATAAATTCATTCGGTAAAGGCACTCGAACAGCCTTCTGGACCGAAGAAAGTTCGATATTTGAGGTTCCACTGTACATATTGTGTTGATATATGTTTTAATCTAAGTAAACAATCCATTCAAATCAAAGCATCCAAAATTTGGACCAACCCATTTGAAGGAGGAAAAAGAAAAACCTCTCCTAGTAGCTTCAAAAAAAATTTTTGAACTTGTAATATTTAACCCTTTTACTATCCAGACCCCCAAAAATTAATATTGTCTCTGTGCACATTTTTCAAAAGAAAAAAATTTTTCTTCTGAAATGGTAGAGAATCACTTTTCTGAAACATTGATACCAAAAGTATGAAAATTTGTTGGAAAACTTGTGTAATTACACAGGCGCAAAGCAGTTTTGGCATAATTTATGCATTTTACGATTTTACCCACTTTAGAGTCCTATTTTACACCAATTCCATTGCTCCATTTGATGAAATTCTTATCAATTTCATTAACATGCCTTCCATTCTAATGACTGAGCACAAGAAACTTTCCATTCAACTATCAGAACTGCCATTTAACCCTTAAACTGTCCAAATGTAGATCTATGTTCACGTGCGTAGCGCTCTGACCTTGATTTTTCCCCATTTGAAAGCATGTAAAAAAAAGTAGATCTACATTCGGAGCCTGCCGCACGTCAACGTATATCTACGTTTGGACAGTTTAAGGGATAAAGTGCACAGAACTCTGTAATTTTGCCAAATTTTCACAGAATTTTCAAAATTTTGTGAAAATTTCACAAAATTAAAATAATTCTAATTTATAAAAAAAAGAAAGTCCAAAATGAACACTGTAGAGATTCCAGGCACTAAAACATTTGTTCATTAATCATGTTCTCAGGCCTCTCCTATATTAGACTTGCCCTCCATTTTGAGTTCATCACACAAAAAGAATTGAAGATTTACCCTATTTCTCGTATAATAAAATATAACCAGGAAGGATTGATCATGATTTACAGCATCCCAATAAATGAATCAGACCTATTACAAACCCATAAAACAGACCTATAGGTGTAGGGAAACCTTACTCATCCTCAGGAGAATTGGCAAAAAATCGAATATTTCATCTACTTTGAGCCTAATTTCTAGCTACTTCTGGTCCTGAAACTAACAGAATCATATCTCTTTGAGTAGTCTATCTTACATTCTATCAACTGATACTAAGAAGCTGACAATAAAGCTATAAAAACTATCCTAGAAAATACCTCAAACTTGCTATTTTAAACCAAACACAAGGTCAGAGTTTTGCTTTTCCCATCATGCACTGTATAGGGCAGTATTTTTTTTTATACTGTGCACACTTGCCAGACCCATTCTCTTATATATAGACCAAAATTTACAACTCACAGCTTTTCTGATGAAGCTGTGCTCAAACCAGATGTATGTGATGGACCATGGCATCAATAACATAGATCTATGTGACAGCACTGAGTGTACATAAACATGTACTACTATGTCAGTTGTATCTTATGTTGCTAACTTATTAAATTACTACCTCTCCTTTGCAATTTAAATCATTTTATCTGCAAAAATTATTCACACTTAACCCCTTGACTGTCGCAACCCCAAATCCTGAGGTGTCGCAAAATTTCCAAAAAAAAAAAAAAAAAAAAAAAAATTTTTCTTGTGAAATGATAGAGAATCTTTTCCCGATTGTAATGAGCAAAAAAAATGAAATTTGATGGAAAACTGATGGAATTACGCTCTCGTGAAGTTACCGACCTCGGCGATATTTATGAATCGGCGATTTCGCCCACTTTGAAGCCCTATTTTCAACTAATTCCATTGTTCCAGTGAACGATACTCATAGGTGTTTCTTTAGAACTCTATTTTTTCTATTGATTGGGTACAAGAAACTGCCCATTTACTTATTTCGCCTTCCCAATAATGTGGTCAGAAATTTGCAATTTGGCCAATTTCACAAAAATTAAAAAATATGACAATTTCAAAATAGGGTCCAGAATGAACAATGCAGACATTCCTGGCTCTAAAATAACATTTTCTTTGTTCATCAGTCACGTCTCCAGGCCCCTCTGATATTACTCAGAGGGGCCTGTTTGAATTTTTATTCAAACAAAAAACAGAAGATTTACTATTGTGCAGACTACTGCAGTATTGTAATAATTGTATAAATAATGTCAACCCATTCATGGCTGCATATTAGAATGGCTATTTGGACATTTATTGGAAAATGACATTTGTTTACTTTTGAGCATCGGCAAAAATCAAACATTTCCCCTACTTTGAGCTCCATTTCAAGGTTCTTTTCATAGTAAAACCAATCAAAATCACCTCTATTTCTATAATATGTTTTCCATTTTATTAAATGAGACCAAGAAAACGAGAATACAACCATAAATACTATAGGAAAATAGACCACAAAGTCGCCATTTTAATTAAAAACAATGGTCAGTTTTTTTTTCTCATTATGCACTGCGTGCTGCAGGATTTTTTTTTGATACACACTAACCACACAGACCCATTCTCTCACATGTGGGCCTACCAGCTTTCTCCTGCTTGATTGAAGCCGCTAGAATTTATGAGTATACAGTACGTCAAAAATGGTGGCTCGTAAGACGTATATATACAACCAAAACAGTCAAAGGGTTAAAAGTCACAAAAAACTAATATTACATGGTATAATCCTTTTCTAAGTACTGTACCTGTGTTTAAGTACATGTAGTTTGTAAGTACAGTACTAGTTGTAGTTTGCCTGAAATGCTTTGCATAACAAGGGGCTTAATTAGAATATGGATGAAGATGCAATCCCAGAGTTGAACCAACACCTTTTAATTAATGAAAATAAATTTGATTTGATTAAGTCATGATAGCTCTACATTTGTGTCTAGGAGAGACGCGGGACCCTCCATGGTGGTCCTCTGTGGACGAGCAAGACTACAAGATACGTGGAGTTAGTGTTGGTAGCTGACCACAGCTACTATGATACCTACCTCAATAAGACTGTTCCACGCTGCAAGGCCATTGTTAACATTGTTAATGCAGTAAGTCTGTTTTTCACTTCTATGTTATAGTAGTTAGGAAAACTGCACAAATGCACATGATTATATTTGACAGTCCTTCTTCTTTCAACACACTGGCCGTATCCCACCGAGGTGGGGTGGCCCAAAAGGAAAAACAAAAGCTTCTCCTTTTGCATTTAGTAATATATACAGGAGAAGGGGTTACTAGCCCCTTGCTCCCGGCATTTTAGTCGCCTCTTACAACATGCATGGCTTACAGAGGAAGAATTCTGTTCCACTTCCCTATGGAGAGAACAGGAAATAAACAAGAACAAGAACTAGTAAGAAAATAGAAGAAAACCCTGAGGGGTGTGTACATATATACACCTACCATCCGACTTATGACCGAGTTCAGTTCCGAGAAACCAGTCGTAAGTCGAAATGGTCGTAAGTCGAACTTTACATTACAAAACATTTTTGTAATGACTATTTTATTGTTTTATTTTGGTATTTCATGTTTTACTTTACTTTTTATACTGTAAGTACTGTATTTTATACTGTAAGGTTTAGGATAAACACTGTGTACAACACAAATAGTTGTTTATTTCCCAGAAATTTGGCATAAAAAACACGGATGTAAGTTGAGTGGTCGTAAGTCGAGCAGGTCGTAAGTCGGATGGTAGGTGTATATGCTTGTACATGTATGTGTAGTGTGACCTAAGTGTAAGAAGAAGTAGCAAGATGTACCTGAAATCTTGCATGTTTATGAGATAGAAAAATGGACACCAGCAATCTTACCATCATGTAAAACAACTACAGGCTTTCATTTTACACTCGCTTGGCAGGACGGTAGTACCTCCCTGGGTGGTTGCTGTCCACCAACCTACTACCTAGGTTTAGGGTACTAGTTATAAGAAATGAGACTAAGACTTTTATCTATTTTACTACATTAGCTGTTTTCCACTGAGGTAGAGTGACGTAAAGAGGGAAATTCATTCACCATTCATTTAATAGCTGCTTTACTAAAAGTGCATACATATCACAATTTCAAATACCTTTTGAACTGTAACATTATTAACAATCCATCAAATTTATTGTATGTAAATAATGTACTGTTGGTAAGCAGGTGAAATCTATAATTTTCACAAATTCCCTTTAGAAAATTTGATGTTGGTGAAGGGTTCTTAATCCAAGGAGCTGGAACTACCCCTCTTGTTCCTGGACCAGACCTGATTTCCTTCTTTACTGGTTTAGTGTTCTTCTAAGAATAAAGTAAATACAGAAAGTGTGTAATGTTATAGTTTTCCAAGGTTCAGTATCTTGTGTTAACTGTGTAATGGTTATATTAGTGTTTTTATATTAGGTACAGCATCACCCTTCTTCGGTGGGAGGTGGCCGTTGTGTTAAAAAATATATATTTCTGGAATTACCTCTGTAATAATGCTTAAAGGGCTTTGCTTAAAGCATTTTAGACTGAAAATTTTGAAGAAAAGAATGAAGAATTAACAAATACAGACCCATGAGTATTTGTATGGTGACAAGGTAACTTATAGTTTGTATTGCGAAGTTTCCGGGAAGCTACAGATCAAGAAATATCTCAGCGGTGTTGCTAGTTTGGTTCATGTCCTTAAGGTGCTTACTGTTTATGTATTACCTGGAGTTTACCTGGAGAGAGTTCCTGGGGTCAATGCCCCCACGGCCCGGTCTGTAACCAGGCCTGGGGGTGTTGTCCCCAGGCCTGGTCACAGCAGTAACAGCCTGGTGGATCAGAGCCTGATAACCAGGCTATTACTGCTGGCTGCGCGCAATCCAACGTACGAGCCACAGCCCGGCTGGTCAGGTACCGACTTTAGGTGCTTGTCCAGTGCCAGCTTGAAGACATCCAGGGGTCTATTGGTAATCCCCCTTATATATGCTGGGAGGCAGTTGAACAGTCTCGGGCCCCTGACACTTACTGTATTGTCTCTTAACATGCTAGTGACACCCCTGCTTTTCATTGGGGGGATGTTGCATCGTCTGCCAAGTCTTTTGCTTTCGTTGAGTGATTTTTGTGTACAGGTTCAATAATAGTCCCTCTAGGATTTTCCAGGTGTATATAATCGTGTATCTCTCCCGCCTGCATTCCAGGGAGTACAGGTTCAGGAACTTCAAGCGCTCCCAGTAATTGAGGTGTTTTATCTCCGTTTTGCGCGTCGTGAAAGTTCTCTGTACATTTTCTAGGTTGGCAATTTCACCTGCCTTGAAAGGTACTGTTAGTGTGCAGCAATATTCCAGCCTGGATAGAACAAGCGACCTGAAGAGTGTCATCATGGGCTTGGCATTCCTAGTTTTGAAGGTTCTCATTATGCATCCTATCATTTTTCTAGCAGATGCGATTGATACAATATTATGGTCCTTGAAGGTGAGATCCTCCGACATGATCACTCCCAGGTCTTTGACGTTAGTTTTTCGCTCTATTGTGTGGTTGGAATTTGTTTTGTACTCTGATGAAGTTTTAATTTCCTCATGTTTACCATATCGGAGTAATTGAAATTTCTCATTGTTGAACTTCATATTGTTTTCTGCAGCCCATTGAAAAATTTGGTTGATGTCTGCCTGGAGCCTTGCAGTGTCTGCAGTGGAAGACACTGTCATGCAGATTCGGGTGTCATCTGCAAAGGAAGACACGGTACTGTGGCTGACATCCTTGTCTGTCAGATATGAGGATGAGAAACAAGATGGGAGTGAGTACTGTGCCTTGTGGAACAGAGCTTTTCACCGTAGCCACCTCAGATTTTACTCTGTTGACTACTACTGTTTGTGTTCTGTTTGTGAGGAAATTATAGATCCATATACCAACTTTTCCTGTTATTCCTTTAGCACGCATTTTGTGTGCTATTACGGCATGTTCACACTTGTCGAAGGCTTTTGCAAAAGTCTGTATATATTACAAATCTGCATTCTTTTTGTCTTCTAGTGCATCTAGGACCTTGTCGTAGTGATCCAGTAGTTGGGAGAGACAGGAGCGACCTGCTCTAAACCCATGTTGCCCTAGATTGTGTAATTGATGGGTATCTAGATGGGTGGCGATCTTGCTTCTTAGGACCCTTTCAAAGATTTTATGATATGGGATGTTAGTGCTATCAGTCTGTAGTTCTTTGCTATTGCTTTACTGCCACCTTTGTGGAGTGGGGATATGTCTGTTGTGCAGGAAATTTATATATATATATATATATTTTTTTTTTTTTTTTTCAACAAGTCGGCCGTCTCCCACGGGGGTGGTGACCAAATAGAAAGGAAAATCCCAAATAAGAAAATACTTTCATCATCATTCAATTTTCACCACACTCGCACATTATCACTGTTTTTTGCAGAGTTGTGCTCAGAATACAAGTTTAGAAGAATACACATTATAAAGATACACAATATATTCCCTCCAAACTTGCAAAATAAATAAATATTATATATATATATATTTATATATATATATATATATATATATATAATTTTTTTTTACAATGATTGTAACTTGCATGTGTAATGTTGCAGCTGTTCCGACCACTGGGTGTGGTGGTAGTACTGACTCATTTGGAGGTATGGAACATCAAAGACCAGATTGTTGTGGATGAGGATTCCAACAAGACTATTGATAACATGAAGCCCTATAGAAAAAAGTTGTTATTGACTCGTCCAGATATTCCCAATGACACCACACAGCTTTTGACGTGAGCATTATGATGGAAATCGCTTGATATTAATTATACTGTATGGTATTTAAGGATTAATTTGAGAATAATTAGAATGAGGAATCATCATGATTTGCTAATAGTAATTGCTTTCCCCCTTAACACTTAATGTGGCAAATAATATTCTTAATGATGTAATGTGTTTGAAAATATAAGGCCTTGTATTTCACTTTTTTGTAAGCATCACTTTAAAGCTAACAGGACAGTAGACATACATTTTATTAGTAGCTTAGAGCTTTAGAATAAAAGTCTTTTAAATATGTCATTAATAAATTTTTATTTTTATATAGGATGTCATATTTTTTGCTCTGTATTGGCATATACTTAACAATTTTTTAAATTCTGCAGAACTGTTGACTTCACAGGAATCACCATTGGCAAAGCTACAATGAATGGAATGTGCAGGTAGGTAGTGTTTGCTGTTTGATAATTAATAAATGTATAATAATAAATCAATGTTGATTTAATCAGCTAGTTTACCCTTAACCCTTTCAGGGTCCAGAGGCCAAATTTCAAAGGGTGCACCAGTGTTTAAGAATTTTCCAAAAAAAAAATTGTTACTTAAAATGGTAGATAATATTTTTCTGAAGGTAATAAAACAAAAAGTACAAAATTTGATGGAAAATTGACGAAATTATGCTCTCGCGAATTTTGTTGTCAGCGATATTTACGCATCGGCAATTTTGCTGAATTTGACTCGCATTTTAGGCCAATTACATTATTCCAGTCGACCAAATTCTTAGCTATTTCACTAGTATTGAGCACGAGAAATCGCGCATCAACTGTTTCAACTATAAATAAAATGATCGGAAAATGGTAATCTGGCCAGTTTAATGCAAAGTTCAAAATATTCCAATTTCAAAATAGGGTCCAAAATAAACAATGCAGACATTCCTGGCACTAAAATAACATTTCCTCTGTTCATTAGTTATGTTTTGAGGCTTTACAAATGAATTCCATTTTTATTTTTATTCACATAATGAATTTTTATTCAAACCAAAAAATAGAAGATTTACTATTATGCAGTATTGTAATAATTGTATAAATATCACCACATTTGTGAATGTATATTAGACCCACCAGCTGGTGTGTATTAGACATGTGAGGTCATTTGTTTACTCTTGAAGATCGGCAAAAATTTTACATTTCCTCTACTTTGAGCTCAGTTTCAAGCCATTTCCAGTACTAAAACCAATCAAAATCATCTCTATTTCTGTAATATGTCTTTCATTCTATCAAATGAGACCAATAAATCGCAAATACAACTATAAAAACATACAAAAAACACTGCAAAGTCACTGTTTTAATCGAAAATTATGGTCTCGTTTTTTTTCTCTCATGCACTGTTTGCTGCAGGATTTGTTATGTGGTGCACATGTACCACATAGATGTATTCTTTCATATCTAGGCCCAAATTTACCACTCACAGTTTATCAGAGTGAGCTGAGCTCATGGCATAGATCTACGGTTTGGACCCTCAACTCAAATCCGTAGATCTACGGCACGGACCCTGGAAGGGTTAAACTGCTGAAGGGTCAAAAATATGTTCCCCCAGTGCATGTGATTTTGAAAAAAATCTGATAAGTACTTAGAGATATGAAGCTTTGAAATTGACATCAGTGATTGTCATGTGGCAACGCATCATCATGTTTTTCGTGATTTCTTCCATTTTTTCTAGCTTTTTATGGATCACATTTGTTGCACCTATATTTGTTTACATATTTCACTTACAGTATATTTATTTTTCAATAGCACTAAACTAAATGCCAGTCTCTTCTCTTGTTAACTCACTGAACACTTTTTGTTTTTATTGTTGTATTGTCTTTCACTGCATCCAAAGTGCTATCAAAAAGTTCCTGGACTCAAATTTTCATCCGCTTCTTGGGTGAAATATAGCAGCAGTGTAGATCATTCTGGGTAGAACACTCCTTTGTAAAGTGGCATGGTGAGTTTCAGTGTAGTCGGATGTTCCATTGAGGTTAGACTGGTATTTTTTGTGTTGTCCAAGCCTATAATTTTATGTGTAATAGAATGGAATCTTTAACCCTTAAACTGTCCAGACGTAGATCTATGTTTGCGCACGTAGCACTCCGACCTTGATTTTCTCCATAAGAAACAATGTAAAAAAACATAGATATACGTTTGGAGCACTAAGCAAGCAAATCGTAGATGTACGTTTGGACAATTTAAGGGTTAAAAGAAAGAAGTGTGTGTGAGAGAGAGAGAGAGAGAGAGAGAGAGAGTAGAGATATATAGATATATAGATATAGATCTAGATAGATATAGAAACTTATTGATAGCACCTTGTATATTCTATGTACACTATACACATACACACACTGTAAACTATATTAAAAGTGTTAGAGCTCATGGAACTGCTTGAAGCATGGTTTAATGCAGAGTAGTGTTTCACAGCTTAACACTTGTATCTTATATCCCTGCATTTCATTTTTTTTTTTTCAGCACACACACACACAGCACCTCTTTGACAATAAACATTTGTCACAGTAGTGTCCTTCCATTCAAACAGGTGCAGCTGTTTTGAAACATTTGTGTTTGCCATGGTATACCTGTTATATGCATTTGTTTGCTGCACAATAAGTTGCATCAGGGCATTATCAAAGAACTCAAAGAAAGTAAGTTTGTGAGAGTCCTCTATCAAAGAACAATGTGGTTTTATTCTACTGTTTGTATCATGAAAATGACATGGATTGGGAATACATGGGCTGTCTTCCTGTCAGTTCCATGTGTGGTCTAATGGTAGTGGGGTTGGTGGTGGATGTGAAGCATCTGTAGCTGGAGCTGATAAGAGTTCAGGATGGTCGTTACAATGGTCGTCATGGCCTCCTTCTTAGTCCTACTTCACAACCACCATAATCGTCACTATCACTATCAGATGATTGTGAAATGCATGGTAATTGTGCACTGGGTATGGCATGTTGCTCACTTCCCTTCCTGGTACATCAACAACATATTTCAGTTTCACTGGCAAATATTACATGTCACAGTTACTAGTCATCACTCCTCATCAGCATGAACTCATCACTGAACTCATCCTTGCTGTTTAGATCTTGGCCAAAATGTTGAGAAAACCTTAATTTCCACTTGGATTATTGTGAGTTGGTTGATGGTGCGACATGGTAAACAATGTAATGGCTTGCACTAGCTTCCACAATGCCCTACACATGCCAGGATTTTTTCTATATTGCAACACCCACTGTTCAGACCTGTTTTCTCTGACATGGCCTAACCTGACTGTGTGGGGCCATTTTGGAGGCACTGTAATTTAAGTATAAATTTATGCCATCAGCAAAAATGTACATCATTGGCAGCTTCAGGGTTAACTAGCTGTGATGATGTCCAGGTTGTCACTGTAGACAACCACTTGGACCAATATTTTACAGAATATCGTCCATACTGGATAGTTTTTAATTTTGTCTAATTCCAGTGCAAATAATTAAAACAATAAGAGAATGCTGACAAATTATGTATGTACATATAAAATCCGTGAAAGACGGCCAGCGTGTTAAAAGTAAAAATTAATAAAATGAAAAAATAGGGGAAATAAAATACAAATATTTACCTAACCACTACATTAATAAAAATTAATTTTTTTCCAGTTATGATGATTCGGTCGGAATTGTGCAGGACCAAAAATTGGACGTATAAGCTATGTCGCACAGACACTTGCACATGAACTTGGCCATAATTTAGGTCTTGGCCATGATGAGGATGATAGTGACTGCCAGTGTGACACGAATAACTGCATAATGAACACCAGCAGGGACAGGTAAGGAACTGAGGAACAGAATGTGGCCAGGGATATAAAGATAAAACTCAAGATAGCTAGAAAAGAATTCAAAGGTAATTTTTTTATAGATATAAGGTAAGAGTTCAGTAGCAAGATAAAATGGAGGAGAAGAAAACTGGTATAGAGGACATAGAATAAAATAAAAATAAAAATTTAATACACTCCTCTCCAGATGGCACCTTCCAATAATCTATTGTCATCGTTCTTCACTTGCTGTGGCTTGTAGCCACTCAGAAATGATTTAACCCTTTGACTGTCGAAAGGCCTAATCCTGAAGTGTCTCCTGGTGTTGCAAAATATTCGAAAAAAAAAAATTATTTTTTCTTATGAAAATATTAAGATTATTTTTCTGATTGTTTTAGTCCCAAAAAAATTTTTTCCCCATCAGTACTTACCGAGATATAGAGGCATGAAGTTTGCAGAAAATGAGCCACGTATGGCAACAGCGGCGACTGCCGCTCACCTGTAAACTTTGGTTTACTTGTATTTGAAGGTTTGTTGTTTTTTCATTATTTTATTTTTTCACATAACTTATGTGGCCTATGAGACCAAAGTAAGGTGCAATGTACATATGTACACTCGTTGTATACAACACAATAAGCACACAAACATAATTATCAATATATTGTTTACAAAAACAAACAATACAAAAAATTGTTTTACTATTGTTCTATAATATATATATACCAATGTATAGTCACCGAACATATTCCTAGAAGTTTTACAGCTTGTGGAACTCTTCGAAACATGGTGTCGTACACAATGGTGTTTTACACTCCTCAAACATAAAACCAGTGTGTGTGCATTTTTGTGGAAGTTTTTTTTATGTGCAAAGACAAAATACCTCGTCTGAGCAGTTTTCTTCAAAGTATTAGCAGGCAGTTGTGTTATGTAGTTATCCTAGGTAAATGGTTGTGTGTCATCATTCCTTCCTTACTAATTTCCTTCATTCCTTTCCTACCTGGAAGCTACCTGGAGGGCATTCAACCTCTCTTCCTACATTCCTTCATCTGTCCTTCCTTACTTTTTTCCTTCCTTTCATCTAGTCCTTCCTTCATTCCTGCCTTCCCTTCTTGCTTCTTGTTCCTATAATATATATACACATATATAGTCACTAGATACTTTCATAAAACTGCTATTATCACCATTCAGCAAGCTTGTCTTGGGTGCAAGTGTGTGGCTTATAATTGTTTTGAGTCACGAGTCCGCAGCTGTCAAAATGACATTTGTCTCATTACTCACTCCCCCTACCGCCTGTCAAAACAATGGGGTCGGATGCTGCTTCCCCTCCATTCTATCTAATTATCTTTCTCCCTCATTCTATCTCTTTCAATCTCTCTCTCTCTTTCTCTGTCTCACAGGTACACATAAATACAAGTATACATAAATACAAGTATACCCAAAAAATCCAGACAAAGTGCTATACTCTGCTTGAAGATGTGAGTAAACGTGATGATGACACAGTTTTGTGGCTCTCTCTGAGACGGAGCTAGACGGATAGACAGGGAGCTTGGCAGACAGACAAATGTATGTTTGTTTGTTTGTTTCTTCTTCTCTTCTTCTTCTTCTTCTTCTTCTTCTTCTTCTTCTTCTTCTTCTTCTTCTTCTTCTTCTTCTTCTTCTTCTTCTTCTCTTCTTCTTCTTCTTCTCTTCTTCTTCTCTCTTCTTCTTCTTCTCTTCTTCTTCTTCCTTCTTCTTCTTCTCTTCTTCTTCTTCTTCTTCTTCTTCTTCTTCTTCTTCTTCTCTTCTCTTCTCTCTTCTCTTTCTTCTTTTCTTCTTCTTCTTCTCTTCTTCTTCTTCTTCTTCTTCCTTCTTCCTTCTTCTTCTCTTCTTCTTCTTCTTCTTCTTCTTCTTCTTCTTCTTCTTCTTCTTCTTCTTCTTCTTCTTCTTCTTCTTCTTCTTCTTCTTCTTCTTCTTTCTTCTTCTTCTTCTTCTTCTTCTTCTTCTTCTTTCTTCTTCTTCTTCTTCTTCTTCTTCTTCTTCTTCTTCTTCTTCTTCTTCTTCTTCTTCTTCTTCTTCTTCTCTTCTTCTTCTTCTTCTCTTCTTCTTCTCTCTTCTTCTTCTTCTCTCTCCTCTCTTCTTCCTTCTCTTCTCCTTCTCCTCTCTCTCATCTCCTTCTCCTTCCTTCTCCTTCTCCTTTCTTCTCTTCCTCCTTCTCCTTCCTTCCTCTTCTCCTTCTCCTTCTACGATAAATCTTTCTCCTCCTCCCTCCTCCTCCGCTTTCCTCATCCTCACATCTACTCTCCTCCATCCTCCTCACTCGGACTCCTCCTCCCTCCTCTGCTCTGAGACAGATATGATAGTCTCCCTCCTCCACTCCTACCTTTTTACCCATGCATCAGAGTTATCTCCCTTATCTTGTCACTGTCATGGGAACCTTTTTCCATTTGGGCACAAGATTTAGGTTGATTATGTATATTATTTTTCTTATCACTCTCCAAACACTATCTTCCATTGCTTTGGATCTCAAACCCTCGAAATCATGAAATTGATCTCACTGACACTTCCATCTGTGTTAGAGCATCACTTGGGAAGAGAAGAGTCCCAGATTTGCTGGGGAGTCACATATTTCTTACAGCTAGACATGCTGAAAAAGGACGACTGAAATGGCATTCCCACAATGCACCACTGGCTCCCTGATTTTTTTTATATGGTGCACACTGACCATGGAAACCCTTTCTCTCACATGTGGGCCTACCAGCTTTCTCCTGCTTGATTTGAAGCCGCTAGAATTTATGTGTAAAGATACGTCAAACAAGGTATCTCCTATGACGTATATATACGACCGCCACAGTCAAGGGGTTAATCCAAATTGTGCAGGGAAAATTCCCAGTAGCAGCATGATCAACAGATGCCCTTTTATCACTAAATTTAATATACAGCTGATTACACGATTTAAAATTGTGGAACCAGCTGGAACTAATTGTACATTCTTGTTCAGCTTTTCCTTCATCATTGCATGTACAACAGGGCATTTGCCTTCATTATGATAAAATTCAGTGGTGCAACTTTCATGGGTTTTTGCTTGGACCATTCACTTAGTAATTTGTCTTATTTAGCTGTTGTGACTTGTGACACTTCAGCAGGTCACTTCCTGGGTTATTGATTGCACATGCTCTTTTTCTCTATCCTTTTAATTGTATGAATTATTGCCATCTCCATCACATGTGCACCACTTGAGTTTATCTAATATCTCAATTTTCTCAGAATGTCTATACTTCATAGTTATTATTGGCATCTTAACAGCATAAGAATTTTTCTTGGGTGTTATAGTTACTATCCTGAGACCAGATGGGCTGATTAATAGATCAAAAGTCGATTCACTAACACATGACTGTGTAAGGTATGGGACATACAGGCACAAAGAACTGACAGTGAGGGAGATCGTTTACATTAAGAATAGGACTAGGCCTCCCCAGTTAAAAACAATGGCCTTGCTTGTAGGTTAATTGCAAGACAGAAAAGATCCAGTGGCATGCCATAGTTTTCCTAAATTTATGACATGATGTTCAAGTTTTACTGCATGCTATGCAAATTTGTTGCAATTTTTCAACCATGTTATCACAAAAGCATGTTTAAATGAGTGTTATTCAAGGGTCTACTGTATATAAAGTATTATTGGAAATCTTTTTTTTTTTTTTCTCTCTCCATTTCAAAGACTACATTCAGAGTGCTTTGAGGCATTTACAGTTAAGATGTTTTATTGATTCTGTGCAAGCAGTAAATGATCCCTGAATATATTTAACCCTTAAACTGTCCAAACGTAGATCTGCATTCACTCGCATAGCGCTCTGAACGTAGATCTACATTTTTTACATAAGAAAGTATGTAAAATCGAACGTAGATCTGTGTTTGGAGCACTATGCGAGTGAACGTAGATCTGCGTTTGGATAGTTTAAGGGATAATTTCTGATCTCTCCTTCATTTAAAATAGCTGTAAGCACAAAACATAGGCACTTTAATGTTACCTCTTGTTTTCAGAGTTATCAAAATTCACTCTGCCATTTTCCAAATCTTATTTGTAACTGGTTTCAAGGTTTTTTTCTGTTAGTTGCTTTATTAGGTTTATAACCTATCAATTCCATGAGGATCATTAAGGCTTTATTTCGCTTGTCTTCTACCAGTCAAGAATACCTTAATCCATAAACTAGAGATTAAAATGATTCTTTATCGTATATACACTTGAGAAATACACAGCTCGCAGTACAGTGGAACCTTGACTTAAGAGTGCCCAACATATGAATTTTTCAAGTTATGAGCATCGCTCGGTTGATTTTTTCCTCTTGAGTTATGAGTCAAAATCCGAGTCACAAGCGAGCTTCAGAATGCCACCACTAGTTGGCGCAGTGAACGCCACAACATCTGCTTAGCAGTGCATGTGTTTACCTCACCTTGGAAGCATTTCTTGTGTTGTGCTTGCATTTTGTGCAGTTACTTTGCCAAATTTCTTTTTTCTAACCATGGGTCCTAAGAAAGTAAGTGCAAAGGACAGTGCTGAGATGAAAAAGAGGATGATATCCATTGAATTAAAGCATAAAATCATAGATAAACACAAGCGAGGTGTGCGGGTTGTGGACTTAGCCAGGCAGTACCAGCATAGTACTTCTACGATATGTATGATATGAAAGCAGGAGGAGTTGATAAAGTGTAGCATTAAGAGTGTAGCAAGTAATTTAAGCAATTAAGCGATAGAAAAAGCATGAAACGAAACGAACTCCTCCAATCTCCTCTGCCTATCTTTGTTGTTGTTAGGGTTAATAGGGCCAGTGATAGCATGCGCCGCTCTGCCTACCTTTTCCCACCCTCCACCTCCGCCAGCATCTGTTCTCCAAGGTAAATACATACAATTTATAAAACCAGTTTATTTCTTTACATTCTCTGTTATGTTTTTATATAATACACTCTGTTTTCTCTTATAATAAGACCTCAGAAGGGGAAGCATGGGAACATACGGTCAGAGCGATAATTATTTATACCTCGGGAGTGGCCACCATAACTCATCACATAATGACATATTTTATTCATTCTATCAAATCAAACCAAAGTTTATTCTCTACAAGGATTAAAATGCGGGGTTTACAAATTTTGGTTATTGTGTGGTTTACATGTAATAAAATACTAATTACAGAGGGGGCCGCTAGAACACCTAGCAAGGCATTAATTTTTAACCCTAAATTATTACAAATTGTGGAGTAAGTTGACTAAATACTAAGTGACTAAATACTGGTTTGTGAGTTTAGCAATGTGAATGCTTTTGTTTTGGCACAATACATAGTTTCTATATTGGAGTATCACAGGCAAACTTGTGACTAGTTAGGAATCATTATTTTAAGATTAAGATACGTATTTCTGTGCTTATAGTCAAATGGGTGAGTGAGTGAGTGAGTGTAAGTGTGAGTAAGTGTAAGTAAGAGTGAGTGTGTGAACACCATGTTTCTGTGTTATTTATATTGTTTATTATGTCATGTTAGATCAATTATGATAGATAAATAAGCTGTAGAGTTGATATAAGCATTATATTGAAGTATTTTCTCCTGCCTCCTGAGAGTAGGAATTCCGCTGGTAAGGATTAATGGCATTTCATTTAATTTCAATGAGGAAAGTTGATTTGATGCACAAGCAAATTGAGTTACAAGCTAGGTCATGGAATGGATTAAACTCGTAAGTCAAGGTACTACTGTACATATCTTGCATTAAATCTCAAAGGTCACTTGTCTTCTCTGATCTAACATGGTTTCTGAATACTCAGACCCCTGCCTCTCATATTGTGATAATTAAATAAAAACTTTCTGTAGTGTATGTTACTGGGTTTCAATACAGCCATATTAAATGGGTTTAACCCTTTCAGGGTTGGTGCCGTACTAGTACGGCTTGCATACCAGGGTTGGTGCAGTACTAGTACGCATAAATTCTAGCGCCTTCAAATCTAGCGAGGGAAAGCTGGTAGGCCTACATATGAAAGAATGGGTCTATGTGGTCAGTGTGCACAGTATAAAAACATCCTACAGCACACAGTGCATAAAGAGAAAAAAAACTTTGACCGTGTTTTTGCTTTAAAACAGCGACTTTGCAGTGTATTTTCATATGCTATTTATGGTTGTATTCTAGTTTTCCTGGTATCATTTTATAGAATGGAAGACATATCACAGAAATTGAGATGATTTTGGTTGATTTCACAATGAAAAGTACCTTGAAATTGAGCTCAAAGTAGCAGAAATGTTCGATTTTTGCCCAAGTTCAAAAGTAAACAAATCATGCCACGCATCCAATACACATCAACTGGCGAGTCTAACATTCTTTCACAAGTATGCTGATATTATTTATACCATTTCTACACTAATGCAGTAGTCTGCATAGCAGTAAATCTTCTATTTTTTCGTGAGAATAAAAATTCAAAGTGGAAAGCAAAAGAAATGTAAGAGAGGCCTGGAGATGTGACTGATGAACAGAAAAAATGTTATTTTAGTGCCAGGAATGTCTGTCTTGTTTATTCTGGACCCTATATGGAAATTGGCATCTTTTGAAATTTGTGTGAAATTGGCAAAATTACCAATTTCTGACCACTTTATTGGATAGTTGAAATCGGTAAATGGGTGGTTTCTTGTACTCATTCGATAGAGAAAATGGAGTTCTAGCGAAATAGTTATGATTTTTGTCGACTGGTACATTGGAATTGGCTGAAAATAGGGTTCAAAGTGGGTGAAATCGCCAATGCGTAAACATCGTTGAGACTGCTAACTTCGCGAAAGCATAATTCCATAAGTTTTCCATCAAATTTCATACTTTTGGTGTCATTATGATCGGGAAAAGTTTCTCCACCATTTCGTAAGATTTTTTTTTTTTTTTTTTTTTTTCTCAAAAAATTTCCAACCCTGAGAACAAGTTTAGGAGAGGTCCTGCTGACCCTGAAAGGGTTAAAAAACAGCATGATGACTGTCTACTCACTTGAGGGAAGAGGTTAGGGTACATTAACCCTTTCAGGGTTTCGGACGTACTAGTACGGCTTACGCACCAGGGTTTTTGACGTACTAGTACGCCTAAATTCTAGCGCCCTCAAATCTAGTGAGAGAAATCTGGTAGGTCTACATATGAAAGAATGAGTCTATGTGGTCAGTGTGCACAGTATAAAAAAAATCCTGCAGCACACAGTGCGTAATGAGACAAAAAAAAACTTTGACCGTGTTTTTGGATTAAAGCAGCGACTTTGCACTGTATTTTCGTATGGTATTTATTGTTTTCTAGTTTTCCTGGTCTCATTTTATAGAATGGAAGACATAGTACAGAAATTGAGATGATTTTGACTGGTTTTACAATGAAAACTATCTTGGAATTGAGCTCAAAGTAGCAGAAATGTTTGATTTTTACCGAAATTCAAAAGTAAACAAATCATGCTACGCGTCCAATACACGTACGTCAACTGGTGAGTCTGATATTCTTTTACAAGTGCACTGATATTATTTATACCATTTCAACACTAATGCAGTAGTCTGCATAACAGTAAATCTTCTGTTTTTTGTGAGAATAAAAATTCAAAGTGGAAAGCAAAAGAATGTAAGAGGGGCGTGGGGACATGACTGATGAACAGAGGTAATGTTATTTTAGTGCCAGGAATGTCTTTCTTGTTTATTCTGGACCCTATTCGGAAATTGGCATCTTTTGAAATTTGTGTGAAATTGGCAAAATTGCTAAATTCTGACCACTTTATTAGATAGTTGAAATCAGTAAATGGGTGGTTTCTTGTACTCATTCGATAGAAAAAATGGAGTTCTAGTGAAAGTTTTGATTTTTGTCGACTAGTACACTGGAATTGGCCGAAAATAGGGCTCAAAGTGGGCAAAATCACGATGCGTAAACATAGTCGAGACCCCTAACTTCGCGAGAGCATAATTCCGTAAGTTTTCCATCAAATTTCATACTTTTGGTGTCATTATGATCGGGAAAAGATTCTCTATCTTTTCATAAGAAAAAAATAATTTTTTTTTTTTTAATTTGGCGACCCTGAGAACAAGTCTCGGAGAGGGCCTGGTGACCCTGAAAGGGTTAAAACAGAGTAAAAACAGATTTAAAGTAAACCACAGTAGTGTAAGGAATACTTCTGCAATCCACAGGCATAGTTCTCGTATCAGCTGGAGCACTTGTAGCAAGAGGAACCTTACCAGGACATTGAAGGGTTTCTCATTTGACTGTTTGACGAATGTGCCATCAAAACTCTTCTCAGGCAGCAATTGTGGTAATGGCGTGGTGGAAGAAGGTGAACAATGTGACTGTGGCCCTCCTACTTACTGTGACAACCCATGTTGCATGGCTGAAACTTGCCAGCTTGTCACTAATGCCACTTGTGCCTCAGGCTCCTGCTGTAACACCCAGGTAATTATAACATCTTTCTGATTAATTTACAATATAAACAAAGCTCTCGGTTTCAACATTCTCTTAGTTCTAGATTTTTCTCTGAAAACACAGGTCCTGGATGTAGCTGCTCTGTTGCATACTGGACCACATCAGAGTCATTGGGCTTGGTCTGATGCTTCAGAAGACAACTGGACAAAATTCAGACTTACAGACTATTGTTCATTTTGTGTGATAATTAGAAAAATTTTTCATCCTTTTTTTTCTGAAATTGCCAAAATTCGTAAATGAGAAGTTTTTATTGTGCAGATATAATTTTGCATTATTCAGATTTTAGATTTGTAGAATCTTTAGGAACCTAACCCTTGTAAATTAAGGGGAGGGGGCTAACTATACTGTACTCTGAATAATACCATGAGTTTTGTTTTGTATTCAGTATACTGAGTATAAAATGTAGCTGGATCCGTGTTGCAGTGCTTGCCCACTAGCAGTGGGCAAGCAGTGCTGGCCCAACAGCACCAGCTGTTGGGCCAGTAGTTGTTCCAGTGCATTGTTGTACAATAATATTAAAATGTATATTTTCTGCACTATTGCACTGAAGATGTCTAGCCCTAAATTGTCATTGTAATAACAAAAAAAGGCACAATACCATGACTGGAACGATACACAAATAACCCGCACATAAAAGAGAGAAGCTTACTTTGTCAATGGTCCAAGTCGGACCAAAACGTCGTCGTAAGCTTCTCTTTTTATGTGCGGGTTATTTGTGTATTGTCATTGTAATATTTCTCTAGCTCTGAAAGCTCCCAGGAAGATATTAATGAAAACCCTTTATCTTCAAACAAAGATGGTGATTGAAGATTAGTCTGGAACATCCCCTATCCTTTTTTTTTTTTCATTTAGATGTAAGTTTCACTTCTGCAAATTCACCATTTATTAGTTCCCTGAAACACTTTCATTACAGATGGTGGAGAGTGCAGTGTGTATTATAAATTTCTCTAAACCTCTTAAGCATGTAGTATATGTTTTTTTTTTTTAATTATGGTGCCCTTTAAATGCACTGCATTTGTTTGACCAGAATTCTAAAAATATATTTCCTCATGTGTGTTACTTGTACCCTAGGTGAGGCTGTGTAGTTATGTTTAGAACTTGGACTGAAAATTTTGTGGTCTTCAGTTTAGTCACTTGTTTAAAATATTAATGTAAAATTCATATTTTTTAACCTCAGTGGTCTTGTTGTACTTGGTTGGATTCTAAACTATTTTCAATAAAAGGCCATTAACATTTGTAGTAAGCTTCTGTAGTTTTATAATTTAAACTACAGTTTCCAGTGGTTGCAGCACTTACTATCTCCTTTTGTAAACCATTCCATTATTGTACCACTGCTATGTAGAAAGCCTTTCTAGTAACTTCCAGAAGCTCTTCCATAGTTTATAGATATTGCCTCTTGTGTTCCTCTTGACAGGGTTTGGAAATTTTCCATGGCGATTCTTTCATTGCCTGTAATCTGTATTCGGAAAAGCATATTGATGGTCATTTAACCCTTTGACTGTCGCAACCCCAAATGATAGAGAATCTTTTCCCGATTGTAATGACATTAAAAAAAAACGAAATTTGATGGAAAACTGACGGAATTATGCTCTCGCGAAGTTAGCGACCTCGGCGCTGTTTACAAATCGGCGATTTCGCCCACTTTGAGCCCTTTTTTCGGCTAATTCCATTGTTCCAGTCGCACAAAGTCATAGCTATTTCTTTAGAACTCCATTTTTTCTATCGATTGAATACAAGAAACTGCCCATTTACTGATTTCAACTACCTAATAATGTGGTCAGAAATTTGCAATTTGCCAATTTCACGAAAACTAAAAAATATGACAATTTCAAAATAAGGTCCAGAATGAACAATGCAGACATTCCTGGCTCTAAAATAACATTTTCTTTGTTCATCAGTCACGTCTCCAGGCCCCTCTGATATTACTCTTGCTTTCTATTTTGAATTTTTATTCAAACAAAAAATAGAAGACTTACTATTATGCAGACTACTGCAATACTGTAATAATTGTATAAATAACATCAACCCATTCATGACTGCATATTAGAATGGCTAGTTGGACATTTATTGGACAATGGCATCATTTGTTTACTTTTGAACATTGGCAAAAATCAAACATTTCCCCTACTTTGAGCTCCATTTCTAGTTCTTTTATAGTAAAATCAATCAAAATCACCTCTATTTCTATAATATGTTTTCCATTCTATCAAATGAGACCAAGAAAACGAGAATACAACCATAAATACTATACGAAAATAGACCACAAATTCAGCATTTTAATTAAAAAAAACGGTCGGAGTTTTTTTTTCTCATTATGCACTGCGTGCTCCAGGATTTTTTTTATATGGTGCACACTGACCACACAGACCCATTCTTTCACATGTGGGCCTACCAGCTTTCTCCTGCTTGATTTGAAGCCGCTAGAATTTATGAGTATATATACGTCAAACACGGTACCTCGTAAGACATATATATACGGCTGCGACAGTCAAAGGGTTAAAACAAATTGATTTAAGTGCCCCATTTGTAACTTAGGAGTTTGTAAGTTGGAGATTTCTTTACTGAAATGTAAATGTATATTTTTAGGAATACAGTAATTCCAAGAGTATAATTTCCTACTGAAAAATTTGTGCTGAATAAAATATACAATGTATTGTTGCAGACTTGCACTCCAAAAGACATGTGGACACTGTGCCGTGATGCCACAGCCGAATGTGATGTTCCAGAGTATTGTACAGGTGCTTCAGAATACTGTCCACCTGACACAGTGAAGGAGGATGGAACTCTCTGCTGGGGTGCGAAGGTGTGTTATTCTTTGAGCAAAAAATATTTTAATGTCTCCTCATATGCACGTTTAACCCTTTCACTGTCAGTCCCATAATAGTATGGCTTGCAAACCAGTGTCGGCTCTGTAATGATACACCAAAATTCTAGCGACTCCCAATCTTGTGGGAGAAAGCTGGTAGGCCTATATATGAGAGAATGGGTCTGAGTGGTCAGTGTGCACAGTATAAAAAAAAATCATGCAGCACATATAATAAGAAGAAAAAAAAAAAAACTCAGACTGTGTTTTTGGTTTAAAACAGCAAATTTGTGGTGTATTTTTGTTTGATTTTCTTGTTCTCATTTGATAGAATGGAAGATATTTTACAGAAATAGAGATGTTTTTGAATGGTTTACAGACTAGAAGTACCTTGAAATTGAGCTCAAAGTAGCAGAAATGTTCTGTTTTGCCAATGTTCAAGAGTAAACAAATCACATCACGTGTCCAATACACGTTAACTGGTGGGTCTAATATGCTTTCACAAATGTGCTGATATTATTTATACCATTTTTACAATAATGCAGTAATCTGCATGACAGTATATCTTCTATTTTTTGTGTGAATAAAAATTCAAAATGGAAAGTAAGGAATGTTTGCACTGTTAATTCTGGACCCTATTTTTAAATTGGCCTTCCTTGAATTGTGTATGAAATTGGCCAAATTATCAATTTCTGATCACTTTATTGGGTAGTTGAAATTGGTAAATGGGTGATTTCTTGTACTCAGTCGATAGAACATTTTTATTTTTTATTCACTTAATGAATTTTTATTCAAACCAAGAAAATAGAAGATTTACTGTTATGCAATATTGTAATAATTGTATAAATATCATCATCACATTTGTGAATGTATATTAGACCCACCAGCTGGTGTGTATTAGACGTGTGAAGTCGTTTGTTTACTCTTGAACATTGGCAAAAATTTAACATTTCCGCTACTTTGAGCTCAGTTTGAAGCCATTTCCAGTGCTAAAACCAATCGAAATCATCTCTATTTCTGTAATATGTCTTCCATTCTATCAAATGAGACCAAGAAATCGCAAATAAAACTATAAAAAAAACATACGAAAAAACATTGTAAAGTCGCTGTTTTAATCGAAAATCATTGTTTTTTCTCTCATTATACGCTGTGTGCAGCAGCGCTGTATAGCCCTTGTGGCTTAGCGCTTCTTTTTGATTATAATAATAATAATACGCTGTGTGCTGCAGGATTTGTTTTAGGTGGTGCACACATAACACATAGATGTATTCTCTCATATCTAGGCCCAACTTTGCCATTCACAGCTTACCAGAGTGAGCTGAGCTCATGGGCATAGATCTACGGGTTGGACCCTGAACGTAAAGCCGTAGATCTACGGCACGGACCCTGAAAGGGTTAAAAAATTTTTTTTTTTTTTTTGTTCCCTATGAAGAGAGACTGAAGACCCTTAAATTACATTCACTTATTAGACGAAGAATGAGGGGAGACATGATCGAAGTGTATAAGTGGAAGATGGGTATTAATAAAGGGGATATTAATAAGGTCTTGAGGATATGTCTCCAAGAGAGAACCCGCAGTAATGGATTTAAATTAGACAAGTTTAGATTTAGAAAGGACATAGGAAAGTATTGGTTTGGAAATAGGGTAGTTGATGAGTGGAACAGTCTACCTAGTTGGGTTATTGAGGCTAAGACCTTGAGTAGTTTCAAGTTTAGGTTGGATAAATGCATGAGTGAGAGGGGTTGGATTTGAGTGGGACTTGAAAATGAGTGAATAGAGTTATCAGAGCTTATTTCTTGGGTAGCATTGAAAATTAGGTTGGGCAAATGTTTTGTTAGTGGGATGGATTGTAAAGTACCTCCCTAGTATGGGCCAATGGGCCTGCTGCAGTGATCCTCCTTTCTTATGTTCTTGTGTTCTTAAATGATGGATTTTTTTTTTTTTTTTTTTAAGATAATGACATGAAAAATACAAAATTTAATTGAAAGTTTAAGGAATTATGCAGGTCCAAATTTGGCAGCTTTTGCATAATTTATGAAGCAGTGATTTTTGCCCACTTTGAGTCCTACTTTCAGTCAATTCCATTGCTCATTTTGACCAGATTTTTAGCTATTTTGCTAGTATGCCTTCTGTTCAATTGATTAAACACAGGAAGTCAACCATTAATCTATAAGAACTATCTTATAAAGTGCACAGAAGTTGGTAATTTTATCAGTTTTATGCAAAATCTCAATTTCAATTTTAAAACAGAATCCAAAATAAACACTATGAATTCCAGCAACTAAAGCAACTTATCCTCTGTTCATTAATCATATCCTCAGGTCTTTCCTATATTGCACTTGCCCTCCATTTTGAATTCATTATCTCAAAAATCTAAGTTTTATCCTACTTCTCGGATAATAAAATATAACAAAGAATAATTGGTCATGGTTTAGGGTGTCAAAATAATTGAAGTAGACCTAGTAATAACCCATAAAACAGATCAGGTGGAGTAAGGAATCCTTACTCCCTCTCAGGAAAATAATCAAATCTCAAATATTTCCAGTCCTGCAACCAACCAAAATCACTTTTATTTCAGTATTGTATCCTTCATTTTATCAAGTGATACCAAGAAACAGCAAATAAAACCATAAAAACCCTCCTAGAAAACATCTCAAAGTTGCTATTTTAAACCAAATATAAGGTCAGAGGTTTGCATTTTCCATAAAGTAAGAACTAAGGATAATGATAAGTTGTGCAAGGGAGGGTGTTGTTTTGTGCCTCTGTGGCAGTGACAGCTGTATGGGTGACAAACCCTCCCCATTACTCTAAACTCAGTATTAAGCCCCACGATTAGTATTACCAAAGGGACCGTTTTCATGATTATTGCTTTAATTAAAATTTTACAAAATTAATTAAAGGTGGTAAATCTTGTGGTTTTTACAGGGTCACTGTTACAAAGGTGTGTGTGGCAGCCATGAAGGCCGATGCCAGCAGGTGTGGGGTCCCAGTGCATTGGCAGGTTCTCCACAGTGCTACACACAGCTTAACCAGGAAGGTGGCCCATATGGCAACTGTGGTATTTTGGATTTGGACAGCCACACACTCCAGCCATGTTCACTCCAGTTAGTTTTTCACTTACTAAAAGTTATTAATTATTTGAATAGTTACAACTCCTAAAGTAACATTGGCATTGGTCTTTAGTACAGTAACACATTAAAGTTCTTTTCAAACTTTCTCTAAAGACTCAGATGAACAATATATTTGTATAGTTATTTACTGAACATAGCAAAATGCAACACTTTGTCCCATCAGGGCACCAGAAGAGTACCTATCAGGAATTCTTTTCATAAAATAGCTTAAACTTGCTTCAGGTGATTTTTAAAAAATTCTCTCTCAAATGGTTTCGTCTTGTTAAGTCTAATATCAGCTGATATCTTTGAGTACAGTTCCTCACTTGTATAAGTTTTGTCCCACAACTGATATAATATATAAATATGTAGGTAGTAGGTTGGTACACAGCAACCTGCCCAGGGAGGTACTACCATCCTGCCAAGTGAGTGTAAAATGAAAGCATGTAGTTGTTTTACATGATGGTAGGATTGCTGGTGTCCTTTTTCCTGTCACATAAACATGCAAGATTACAGTTACGTCTTGCTACCTCTACTTACACTTAGGTCACACGACACACACGTGTACAAGCATATATATACACACCCCTCTGGGTTTTCTGCTATTTTCTTTCTAGTTCTTGTTCGTGTTTATTTCCTCTTATCTCCATGGGGAAGTGGAACAGAATTCTTCCTCCGTAAGCCATACGTGTTGTAAGAGGCGACTAAAATGCCGGGAGCAAGTAAGAGGCGACTAAAATGCCGGGAGCAAGGGGCTAGTAACCCCTTCTCCTGTATATATTACTAAATGTAAACGAAGAAACTTTCATTTCTCCTTTTGGGTCACCCCGCCTCGGTGGGATACGGCTGGTGTGTTGAAAGAAAGAAGATGTAGGTAGTAGGTTGGTAGACAGCAAACGCCCAGGGAGGTACTACCATCCTGCCAAGTGAGTGTAAAACGAAAGCCGGTAATTGTTTTACATGATGGTAGGATTGCTGGTGTCCTTTTTCCTGTCTCATAAACATGCAAGATTACAGTTACGTCTTGCTACCTCTACTTACACTTAGGTCACACTACACATACATGTACAAGCATATATATACACACCCCTCTGGGTTTTCTGCTATTTTCTTTCTAGTTCTTGTTCGTGTTTATTTCCTCTTATCTCCATGGGGAAGTGGAACAGAATTCTTCCTCCGTAAGCCATGCGTGTCGCAAGAGGCGACTAAAATGCCGGGAGCAAGGGGCTAGTAACCCCTTCTCCTGTATATATTACTAAATGTAAAAGGAAAAGCTTTAGTCTTTCCTATTGGGCCACCCCGCCTCAGTGGGATACGCCTGGTGTGTTGAAAGAAAGAAAGATATAGTGTAATAACTGAGACTGTAAATTTAGTGCTGTAGCTAAAACCAGTTTTATACTTCAATCCACTCTCTTTTTCACAGTGATTCTCTCTGTGGTACACTCCACTGCCATACTGATGCTGATGTGAAACCTAAGTTTGGCATTGTGTCCTACACTGCTTGGAGTAAAGACAATCATGACTGTAGGACAATATTTTCTACCAATGACATCCCCCCTAGCTACTGGCTCTCGCCCGATGGTGCAGCATGTGGAGATGGAATGGTAAGTAGTGTTTTCCTTATTGAGGTTTTTAACCCTTTGAGGGTCCGTCCCGTAGTTCTATGGCTTCGAAGCCAAGGTACAAGCCGTAGTACTACGCCATAAGCTCAGATATGAGAGAATGAATCTGTGTAGTAAGTGTGCACCATATAAAACAATCCTGCAACACACAGTACATAATGAGAAAAAAACTGCGACCTTGTTTGTGGATTAAAACAGCGACTTTGTCATATATATTTGTAGTTTTTTACTGTTGTATTCAGTTTCTTGGTCTCCTTTGATAGAATTGAGCTCAAAGTAGCGAAAATGTTTGATTTTTGCCGATGTTCAAGAGTAAACAAATGTCATGCATCTAATACATGTCAGCTGGTGGGTCTAATGTTATTATTATTATTATTTTTTTTTTTTTTATCACACTGGCCGATTCCCACCAAAGCAGGGTGGCCCGAAAAAGAAAAACTTTCACAATCATTCACTCCATCACTGTCTTGCCAGAAGGGTGCTTTACACTACAGTTTTTAAACTGCAACATTAACACCCCTCCTTCAGAGTGCAGGCACTGTACTTCCCATCTCCAGGACTCAAGTCCGGCCTGCCGGTTTCCCTGAACCCCTTCATAAATGTTACCTTGCTCACACTCCAACAGCACGTCAAGTATTAAAAACCATTTGTCTCCATTCACTCCTATCAAACACGCTCACGCATGCCTGCTGGAAGTCCAAGCCCCTCGCACACAAAACCTCCTTTACCCCCTCCCTCCAACCTTTCCTAGGCCGACCCCTACCCCGCCTTCCTTCCACTACAGACTGATACACTCTTGAAGTCACTTTCGCTCCATTCTCTCTACATGTCCGAACCACCTCAACAACCCTTCCTCAGCCCTCTGGACAACAGTTTTGGCAATCCCGCACCTCCTCCTAACTTCCAAACTACGAATTCTCTGCATTATATTCACACCATGCATTGCCCTCAGACATGACATCTCCACTGCCTCCAGCCTTCTCCTCGCTGCAACATTCATCACCCATGCTTCACATCCATATAAGAGCGTTGGTAAAACTATACTCTCATACATTCCCCTCTTTGCCTCCAAGGACAAAGTTCTTTGGGTCTAATGTACATTCCTGAATGTGCTGATATTATTTACTATACAATTATTTTAATATTGCATAACAGTAAATCTTCTAGTTTTTGGTGTGAATAAAAATTCATTGTGATAAAAAATAAAAATGGAATTAATTTGTGAACCCTGGAAACATAACTAATAAACAGAGAAAATGTTATTTTAGTGCCAGGAATGCCTGCATTGTTTATTCTGAACCCTATTTTGAAATTGGAATATTTTGAACTTTGTGTGAAATTGGCCAAATTACCAATTTCCAGTCACTTTATTAGGTAGTTGAAATAGTTGATTGGGCTATTTCTTGTGCTCAGTAGATAAAATAGAAGTAATACTAGCAAATTAGCTAAGAATTTGGTCGACTGGAATAAAGGAATTGGCCTAAAATGGGAGTCAGTGAGCAAAATCACTGATACCTAAATATCGCTGATGCAGCAAAATTTGCAAGAGCATAATTTTTTCAGCTTTCCATCAAATTTTGTACTTTTTGTTTTATTACTCTCAGAAAAAGATTCTCTACCATTTCATAATAAAAATAGTTTTTTTTTTTTTTTCCAAAATTCTTGGACCCTGTGGACAAGTTTCAGATCAGGACTCTGGACCCTGATAAGGTCCAGACTCCTGTATGTGAATGTTTGGTGTGCATAGTAACAACGTGTGTGTGTGTGTGTGTGTGTTGTGTGTGTGTGTTGTGTGTGTGTGTAGTGTGTGTGTGTTGTGTGTGTGTGTGTGTGTGTGTGTGTGTGTGTGTGTGTGTACTCGCCTAATTGTGGTTGCAGGGGTCGAGACTCAGCTCCTGGCCCCGCCTCTTCACCGACCGCTACTGGTCCTCTCTCCCCCTGCTCCATGAGCTTTATCATACCTCGTCTTAAAACTATGTATAGTTCCTGCCTCCATTACATCGCTTGCCAGACTATTCCACTTCCTAACTACTCTATGACTGAAGAAATACTTCCTAACATCCCTTTGACTCATCTGAGTCTTCAGCTTCCAATTGTGACCCCTTATTTCTGTGTCCCATCTCTGGAACATCCTGTCTCTGTCCACCTTGTCTATGCCACGCAGTATTTTGTATGTCGTTATCATGTCTCCCCTGACCCTCCTGTCCTCCAGTGTTGTCAGACCGATTTCCCTTAACCTTTCTTCATAGGACATTACCCTTAGCTCTGGAACTAGCCTTGTTGCAAACCTTTGCACTTTCTCTAATTTCTTGACGTGGGTTCCAAACTGGTGCTGCGTACTCCAGTGTGGGTCTGACGTACACAGTGTATAAAGTCTTGAACGATTCCTTACTGAGGTACCGGAACGCTATTCTCAGGTTTGCCAAGCACCCATATGCCGCAGCAGTTATCTGGTTAATGTGTGCTTCTGGCGATGTACTCAGTATTATACTCACTCCTAGGTCTTTCTCCTTGAGTGAGGTTTGCAGCCTTTGGCCACCTAGCCTATACTCTGTCTGCAGTCTTCTTTGCCCTCCTCCGATCTTCATGACTTTGCATTTGGCGGGGTTAAATTCTAGGAGCCTGTTTCTGGACCACACATCCAGCCTGTCCAGGTCTCCTTGTAGACCTGTCTGGTCTGCGTCTGATTTAATTCTCCTCATTAACTTCACGTCATCTGCAAACAGGGACACTTCTGAGTCTATTCCTTCTGTCATGTCATTCACATATACCAAGAATAGCACTGGTCCCAGGACTGACCCCTGTGGGGCCCTGCTCGTCACTGGCGCCCACTGTGATACCTCATCACGGACCATGACTCGCTGTTGCCTCCCTGTTAGGTATTCTCTGATCCATTGCAGTGCCCTTCCTGTTATACGTGCCTGTTCCTCTAGCTTCTGTACTAATCCCTTGTGAGGAACTGTGTCAAAGGCCTTCTTGCAGTCTAAGAAAATGCAATCAACCCACCCCTCCCTCTCATTTCTTACTTCAGTTACCTTGTCGTAAAACAATAGTAGGTTTGTGACATAGGATTTGCCTTCCACGAATCCGTGCTGACTGTCATTTATAATCTTGTTCCGCGCCAGGTGCTCCACCACTCTCCTCCAAGACTTTGCATACTATACATGTCAGTGACACTGGTCTATAATTTAGTGCTTCATTTCTGTTTCCCTTCTTAAAGATGGGGGACTACATTTGCCTTCTTCCATACTTCAGGTAGTTGCCCAGTTTCAAGGGAAGTGTTGAAGATTTTGGTTAGTGGCACACGTAGTGTCCCTGCTCCCTCTCTAAGGACCCATGGAGAGATGTTGTCCGGTCCCACCGCCTTTGAGGTATCAAGGTCACTTAGGAGCTTCTCCACCTCCTCAGTTGTGTGTAATTCATCCAACACTTGTTGGTATATCCCTTGTTGGTGTACGCCACTGTTTTGTCTTCCCGTTGTCCCTTCAGCCTCCACTGTAAATACTTCCTGAAATCTCATGTTGAGCTCCTCACATACCTCCGGGTCGTTTCTTGTGAGCTTCCCACCTTCTTTCCTCAGCCTGATTACCTGGTCCTTGACTGTTGTCTTCCTCCTGATGTGGTTGTAGAGTAGTTTCGGGTCAGGCTTGACTTTCGATGCTATGTCATTTTCATACTGCCGCTGCACCTCCCTTCTTATCTGTGCATACTCGTTTCTGGCTCGTCGACTAATCTCTCTATTCTCCCGAGACCTTTGCCTTCTGTACTTTTTCCATTCTCTAGAGCACTTAGTTTTTGCCTCCCTGCACCTTCAGGTAAACCAAGAGCTCGTTCTGTCCTTCCCATTATTTCTGTTACCCTTGGGAACAAACCTTTCCTCTGCCTCCTTGCATTTTGTTGTTACAAAGTCCATCATTTCGTTTACTGGTTTTCCTACCAACTCCTTTTCCCACTGAACCTCCTGTAGGAAGGTCCTCATTCCTGTGTAGTCCCCCCTTTTATAGTTTAGCTTTTCCCTTTCTACTCCTGTTACCCTCTCCACTTTTAGCTCCACGATGTATTCAAAGCTCATAACTACGTGGTCACTAGCTCCAAGGGGCCTTTCATATGTGATGTGCTCAATGTCTGAGCTACTCAGGGTGAACACGAGGGTGGGTGTGTGTGGGTGTGTGTGTGTGTGTGTGTGTTTGCATGTGTGTTTGCATGTGTGTACTCACCTAATTGTGGTTCCTGGGGTCGAATCACAGCCCCTGGCCCTGCCTCTTCACTGCTCCATGAGTTTTATCATACCTCTTCTTAAAGTATGTATGGATCCTGTCTCAACTACATCACTTCCCAGACTATTCCACTTCCTGACAACTCTGTGACTGAAGAAATACTTCCTAACATCCCTGTGATTCATCTGAGTCTTCAACTTCCAGCTGTGACCTCTTTTTGCTGTGTCCTATCTCTGGAACATCCTTTCTCTGTCACCTTGTTGATTCCTTTCAGCATTTTATATGTCGTTATCATATCCCCCCTCTCTCTTCTGTCCTCTAGTGTCGTCAGGTCGATTTCCTTAACCTCTCCTTTTAGGACATGCCCCTTAACTCCGGGACTAGTCTTGTTGCAAACCTTTGCACTTTCTCTAGTTTCCCTATGTGCTTGGCTAGGTGTGGGTTTCAAGCTGGTGCTGCATACTCCAATATAGGCCTAAAGCACACAGTGTACAGTGTCCTGAATGATTCCTTATTAAGCTGTCGGAATGCCCTTCTTAGGTTTGCTAGGCGCTTGTATGCTGCAGCAGTTATTTGGTTGATGTGTGCCTCAGGAGATGTGCCTGGTGTTATACTCACCCCAAGATTCTTTTCCTTAAGGGATGAGTGAGATTTGTACTCTCTGGCCCCCTAGAATGTCCATCTTGGTCTTCTTTACCCTTCCCCAATCTTTATGACTTTGCACTTGGTGGGGTTGAACTCCAGGAGCCAGTTTTCAGACCAGGCCTGCAGCCTGTCCAGATCCCTTTGTAGTTCTGCCTGGTCCTTGTCTGATTGAATTCTTCTCAACTAAACATCTGCAAACAGGGACACTTCTGAGTCTATTCCTTCTGTCATGTCATTCACAAATTCCAGGAACAGCATCGGTCCTAGGACTGACCCCTGTGGAACCTCATTCTGATACCTCGCCACATACCATGACTCGCTTTTGTCTTCCCGACAGGTATTCCCTGATCCACTGCAGTGCCTCTCCTGTTATCCCTGCCTGGTCTTCCAGCTTTTTCACTAATCTCTTGTGTGGAACTGTGTCAAATGCCTTCTTACTGTGTGTGTGTGTGTGTGTGTGTGTGTGTGTGTGTGTGTGTGTGTGTGTGTGTGTATTTGTGTGTGTGCATGTTTGTGTGTATGCGTGTGCGTGTGTATGCGTGTGCATGTGTATGCGCATGTGTGTGTGCATGTGTATGCATGTGCATGTGTACGCGTATGTGTGTGTACCCGTTTGTGTGTGCACACGAGTGCGTGCGCACGTGTGCTCACTTACATGTACTTGCCTATATGTGGTTACAGTGGTTGAGTCTTAGCTTCTGGCCCTGTTTCTCGACTTGTTGTTCACCAGATTCACTCCCTCTTTGCCTCTTGGGCCCTGTCGTTCATTTTCTGAAGTTGATAAACAGCACTAAATACAAGTGTAACTAAGCAAAGAACAGGTTATTTCCAATTGTATTCTTTGTCGATAAGCAAATTTGCCCTAGGAAAATAGTTGCTAAGCAGGGACTTTTTTGTACTGTACCTGGGTTTCTCCTTAAACTTTAGTGAACTTTTACCATTTTAATGTGAATGCAGTTTTTTTTTTTCATGGGTCTTTATTTTATTTTTCCTTACTTTTGGCTCTGTCACTTACTGGCTAAGCATTTCATGTATAAACTTAATTTATATTAAGTCATGTACTTCTGATACTGTATGTGTTCATTGATACATTTCTTTTAGAATTGCTTGGCACTGTGTGACCACAAGGTCCTTGTACTCTGCAAATTTCAAACTTTTTCACTATACTGAAAAAAGTATTTCTTAATGTTCCTGTAATTCATTTGCAGCTTTTAATGCTTTCTGTGTGCTCTGGCTCCCTTTTTAGTTTTCATCTCAAGCTCTCTATCCCACTCTATCCAGTCTACTAAATATTTTGTCATGATCATATCTTTTCTGATCCTCTGTTCTTGGGATTTTAGTTGTGTGTAAGGAGAGGAATCTACATTATTTTGCCATAAATTTTTAACAGTTGTAAAAATCCTAACCCCATGAATCAACAGGTACTCACCTAATTGCACTTTCCTAATTCTGGTTGCAGGGGTCGAGACTCGGCTTCTGGCCCTGCCTCTTCACCGATCGCTACTAATCCTGTCTCTCCCTGCTCCATGAGCTTTATCGTACCTCTTTATAAAGCTATGTATGGTTCCTGCATCCACTACATCACTTGCTAGACTGTTCTACTTCCTGACTACTCTGACTGAAGAAATACTTCATAACATCTCTTTGACTCGTCTGAGTCTTCATCTTCCAAGTGTGACCCCTTGTTTCTCTGTCCCCTCTCTGGAACATCCTGTCTCTGTCCACCTCGTCTATTCCACACAGTATTTTGTATGTCATTATCATGTCTCCCCTAACCCTCCTGTCCTCCAGTGTCGTCAGGCCAATTTCCCTTGACCTTTCTTCGTAGGACATTCCCCTTAGCTCTGGAACTAACTTTGTCACAAACCTTTGCACTTTCTCTAGTTTCTTGACATGCTTGATCCAGTGTGGGTACCAAAATGGTGCTGCATACTCCAGTATGGGCCTGACATACACAGTGTACAATGTCTTGAATGATTCCTTACTACGGTATCGGAACGCTATTCTCAGGTTTGCCAGGTGCCCATATGCTGCAGCAGTTATCTGGTTGATGTGTGTTTCTGGAGACGTGCTCGGTGTTATACTCGCCCCAAGATCTTTCTCCTTGAGTGAGGTTTGCAGTCTTTGGTCACCTGGCCTATACTCTGTCTGCAGTCTTCTTTGCCGTTCCTCAATCTTCATGACTTTGTATTTGGCGGGGTTAAATTCAAGAAACCAGTTGCTGGACCAGGTGTCCAGCAACTGAAGTTATTTTATTCATGAGTAGGTAGATTACTAGGGATCTGTTGTCTAGCACAGCACCTCGTATTGTCTGTACTAGATGAAATTTAGATGTCTTGATTACTTATTAGGGGCACCCACTCCATTTGTTTTAAATGTTCTTATACCTCATTTATTTTCACTTTTCTTAATTACAGATGTGTGTAAGCCAAAGATGTGTACCCATACCAGGCTCAGGCTTGGGGATGCTGTTTTGGATGTTACTGGTACTATTTCTGGTTATCTTCTGCTTTTTGTGGGATCCCCTGCGATGGTGGTGGGTGAAACAAGGGCGTGCCTGGTTATCTCGTAAGTTACCATGTTGTGCTTCTTGTCTTGACTCCTGCTGTTGTCCACTCATGAACAAAGTCACGCAGTGGACAGCCACCATTGGTCCATTCCATAAAAGCAAAAAACCTAATGATAATAATGTTAAAGTAAATAAGGAAGTAAATGGTGGTGTGACTTCTCAGGTGACTCAGAACACAACAGAGTCTTGGCCAGTCAATCACTGGGGAGATGATAATGAACACAGAACTGTAGGAGTAGCCTCAAATACTCGGAATGATGTTCACTTTTCTTCAAATTCTTCTGTTTTATATCATAATAGTATAAACCTCAGTCATTCTGCTCCTAGTTATTGCATTAACACAGGTCATGCATATGCTTCTGGTGAGGTACCTCTCCTAGATAATGTGAATTCTATAAAACATTGGCCCATATCTTCTGCTAGCACCAGAGAAAACATATCAGAAACCATACCAACATCACCAGATGTCCTAAGTGATGATGAGGTCATCAACAAACTATCAGAGCTAACACATAATCTTAACATTATCTCTGGAAAACAGGACAGATCATCCAAAAATGAAAATTTAAATGATACTAATATGAACGTGGAAACAGACTATGACTTCCAACATGAAACTCAGAATCGACAAGTGCTGCAACCACAAGCATCTTCTGACTCCTCAGTTAAACTTGTACCAGTAAGAAGAGCTCCTTCACCACCTGTGCAGAAACCAAAGCAAGAAGGAATGACAAGTAGAAGCATCTCTTCAGTGTCTTCTATTCCTTTAGCAACAAGCCTGACCCATTCCCAGATTCCAGAATCTACTGTACCTCCATGGTCAGACCTTATCATACCTCCAAGACCAGACTGTAATGAACTTCAAACATCAGATTCTATTATATATCAAAATCAAGAATATGCTCATCAGAGACCAGAACCAACTATACCACCAAGACCAGAGTATACTCCATCTCAAAGGCCAGAACCTTCCGTACCACCAAGACCAGAGTATACTCCATCTCAAAGACCAGAACCCTCCATACCACCAAGACCAGAGTATACCCTACCTCAAAGGCCAGACCCTTCCATACCATCAAGACCAGAACCTTCTGTACCTCCACGACCAGAATTTTCAGAAAGATTTGTATCGTTTAAAAAGACACCCTTTGTTCCTCCAAGACCATAGTCTATAAATAGGAGCATATCAATGTAATTTAATAAAAGGACTAGAAAATGTCTGCTCCTTTTTTTGCCAACAAAATAAAATTTAAAGACTTCAACCCATGAGAATATTTTTTTCTCAGCTAGTCAGTGTACATCTATTTTTATTATGTGTTTAGTTTTATAGTATAATATGAAGCATCCATTTATTACAGGGCATATTGTACTCAACCAATGTAACTTGATCACGAAAAAGGAAATTTTTTTTGTAAAGTAAAAGGACACAAGTGCAATTAATGTGACGTTTATTGTGGCAACGTTTCGCTCTCCAGGAGCTTTATTAAGCCATTGCAAACAATACATGGACACAGAGGATATATAAAGGCTCAGAGTGAGGTGCAATGCTAGTGAGGAAACATTTCGATGTTCACTAGTGGTGGTAGTAGTAGTAGTAGTGGTAGTGACAAAAGTAGAACAATATGGTAGAGCAAATAATTCGTACATGAGTAAAAGGATATAAAAGCTATTACTTGGGTAACATAAAAATAGGTTGGACAAATATAGACTGGAAAGAGGTAGCTTGTTTCAGTGTTCACTCTCTGTAATGTGCTTTGTGTAGTATAACAGGAGACTATGTGATGGCAGGGTTTACTGTTTTCAGGAGGATTCTTGCAAAGACTTCGGAGATGGTGAAGCTGCCGTTGTTTTGTTTAATTGTATTCGAAACAGCGATCAGTGCTGATTCGAGGCACTTGCGTCTGCGGAAATTAGTTTCTTTGATCACTAATTGGGCGTCTCTGAATTTCATGAGATGATTGGTGGCATTTCGGTGTTGTACACAGGGGTTGTTCAAGTTATCGTTCCTACATGCGTAAATGTGTTCATTGAGGCGGGTGTCGAGGTTTCTTGCTGTTTCACCTACGTAAATCTTGTCACAGCCTCCACAGGGTATAGTGTAAACTCCTGCATTGACTGGTTCGTGGTGCTTGGATTTTGTCCTGGTTAGATCCTTTATTGAAGTGCTAGAAGCGATGGCGACTCTGGTGTTAGTTTGTGAAAGTACTTTTGAGACGTTCAGTGCAACCTGGCTGTTGGGAAAATATATCTTTGTTGGGAGTGGTGTTGATACGTGGAGAATTAATGATCTGAAGAGCTCTTTTCTTGCAGTCTTTGATGAAAAAAGAAGGAAAATGTAACTCGGTGAATGTTTGGTGAATGTATGTACATTCCTCGTCAAGAAACTCAGGACTACAAATTCGGTATGCTCTTAGGAAAAACCTGATGATGATGCCTCTTTTGGTCTTGGTATCTTGACTGGAATAGAAGTGTGTGAGATCATTTTTATTGGTGGGTTTCCGATAAACTTGAAATCTTAGGTTGTTGTCTACTTTGTGAATGAGGACGTCGAGGAAAGGTAGCTTGTCATTGGACTCTTCTTCTAGTGTAAACTGGATCGCCAGTTCAACTGCGTTGAGCCTTGCCTGAAGATCTCGTACATCAAAACATTTTGGAGTTATTACGAGGACATCGTCCACGTAACGTAACCAAGTGACGCTTGAAGGGATGATGTTGGTGAAGTGTTCGGATTCTAGGTGTTCCATGTATAAGTTGGCTAGGACGGCACTTATGGGGGACCCCATTCCCATGCCGTAGGTTTGTTTGTAGAGCTTGTTATTGAAAGAAGAGATTTTGTTGACTTGATTGAACTCTGTGTTAATTTCAACTGTTTTTCTTTCAATAACAAGCTCTACAAACAAACCTACGGCATGGGAATGGGGTCCCCCATAAGTGCCGTCCTAGCCAACTTATACATGGAACACCTAGAATCCGAACACTTCACCAACATCATCCCTTCAAGCGTCACTTGGTTACGTTACGTGGACGATGTCCTCGTAATAACTCCAAAATGTTTTGATGTACGGGATCTTCAGGCAAGGCTCAACGCAGTTGAACCGGCGATCCAGTTTACACTAGAAGAAGAGTCCAATGACAAGCTACCTTTCCTCGACGTCCTCATTCACAAAGTAGACAACAACCTAAGATTTCAAGTTTATCGGAAACCCACCAATAAAAATGATCTCACACACTTCTATTCCAGTCAAGATACCAAGACCAAAAGAGGCATCATCATCGGGTTTTTCCTAAGAGCATACCAAATTTGTAGTCCTGAGTTTCTTGACGAGGAATGTACATACATTCACCAAACATTCACTGAGTTACATTTTCCTTCTTTTTTCATCAAAGACTGCAAGAAAAGAGCTCTTCAGATCATTAATTCTCCATGTATCAACACCACTCCCAACAAAGTTATAATTCCTCCCAACAGCCAGGTTGCACTGAACGTCTCAAAAGTACTTTCACAAACTAACACCAGAATCGCCATCGCTTCTAGCACTTCAATAAAGGATCTAACCAGGACAAAATCCAAGCACCACGAACCAGTCAATGCAGGAGTTTACACTATACCCTGTGGAGGCTGTGACAAGATTTACGTAGGTGAAACAGCAAGAAACCTCGACACCCGCCTCAATGAACACATTTACGCATGTAGGAACGATAACTTGAACAACGCCTGTGTACAACACCGAAATTCCACCAATCATCTCATGAAATTCAGAGACACCCAATTAGTGATCAAAGAAACTAATTTCCGCAGACGCAAGTGCCTCGAATCAGCACTGATCGCTGTTTCGAATACAATTAAACAAAACAACGGCAGCTTCACCATCTCCGAAGTCTTAGCAAGAATCCTCCTGAAAACAGTAAACCCTGCCATCACATAGTCTCTCCTGTTATACTACACAAAGCACATTACAGAGAGTGAACACTGAAACAAGCTACCTCTTTCCAGTCTATATTTGTCCAACCTATTTTTATGTTACCCAAGTAATAGCTTTTATATGCTTTTACTCATGTACGAATTAATTGATCTACCATATTGTACTACTTTTGTCACTACCACTACTACTACTACTACTACCACTAGTGAACATCGAAATGTTTCCTCACTAGCATTGCACCTCACTCTGAGCCTTTATATATCCTCTGTGTCCATGTATTGTTTGTAATGGCTTGATAAAGCTCCTGGAGAGTGAAACGTTGCCACAATAAATGTCACATTAGTTGCACTTGTGTCCTTTTACTTTACATATTGTCGGTAATTTTACCAACTTTATTACGAAATTTTTTTTCAAATCTCCAGTGAAATTCTACTTCCCTTCTGGCAGATATATACTGATATGCACTAATTTTCATGAAAATTCAGGACCCCTGAAGCACCTAGCTTTTGGAAATTACAAATAAATTAATATACAGTTTCCATCATTGAACTGTGAAGTCTGCACTGTTGGTAAGAGTAAGTGAATAAGTGATTGTGAATGTGTTTCCTTCTTAGGATGACTTTAGCTTGATGGAAAAATAGCTGATGCGATTAAAAAATTAATGTTATAAACATAAATGAGACTACTGTATATATTAAATAATAGGGCATGTTTTACATGGCATGACCACAATGTCATTGGTCATATTGGCTGATCAAAAGTAGAGAAATATATTTCTTTGTAGTTTTCACACACACACACACACAGGATTCTTAACCCATAACTTTGGCAGACCTGACAAAAACAGTGTTCGTGGCATGGCAGAATTTTTAATATATTTATTTTTCAAGTGTTTAGTTTACTTTTCTGAGTAGAATAAGACCACAACAACAACAACAAAAAAAATGGATCAAAGCTTGCTGACTTATGGAGTGTTGAAGTTGGCAGAAAATAACCCCATGACAGCAACATTGTCATGATTCCAGTAAGTACTTGTAATAATTTTTAACGTTATTAAGAAATTATTTTTTCAGGTTTTGTTTATTTTCATTGTCTAAGACTATATGCAGCATTTTACAATGATAGTAAATGTTTTTCAAGTTGTTTAGTACTAGAAACAGGGGGGAGAAGCATATTACACTATTTCTACAATTTCAGTACAGTTGGGCCCTGCATTACGGTGTTCCGCTAATACGGCAATTTCAAATAATGACCGAAGTTTGCGATACGGTGAGTGGTCTTTCAGATACGGCATGCCCCACCCATTTGGTTTACATTCTCCATGAGTACATACAGTATATCTATTATGTCTGGAAATTTTCCAAAATTTCAAGTGTTTTAAAGTTATTGCATATTTTATATGTACTCTGATAATTATACTTATGTGTACCTGTACCTAAATATACTTACTCACTGTGCTGGCATGCAGGTACACATTAAAACCACTAAGAGTGTGTCTATTCTTGATGCCTTAATAATAATACAGTGGAACCTCTACTTACGAGTGCATCCACATGCGAGTTTTTCCAGATACGAGCAGCTGCTTGGTCGATTTTTTGCTTCCAGACGCGAGCAAAATTTCCAGATGCGAGCGGGCCTCAAGGAAGGTTAATTGACACTGGTGAGGGGGCTCTTGCTCTTGATCTAGGGAATTGGATCTCGGTTGTTTGTTGGACTATCTTATTGAAACTTGGGCAATGTATGATGAAAAGATGCTTCTTAAATTACACCAAAAATGAAAGAAATCAGACCATAAATAACAGAGTTCACTTCTCAGCCATTAACCTCCCCTTAGTGGTATATTTCTGTATGGTTTTTATGGTTGTACGTATTCTCGTTTTATTTGGTCTCGTGTGATAGAATGGAAGATATACTACAAAAATAAATTGAGAAATTGAGCTCAAAATAGCAGAAATGTTCGATTCTTTGGCGACGTCAGTGGTAGACATCGTGAGGTAGCAGTGGCAGACAACATGAAGCAGTAGTGGCACAACATGGAGCAGTAGTGGCACAACATGAAGCAGCAATGGCAGACATCATGAGGTAGCAGTGGCAGACAACATGAAGCAGCAGTGGCAGACATCATGAGGTAGCAGTGGCAGACAAAATGAAGCAACAGTGGCAGACAACATGATGCAGCAGTGGCAGACAACATGAGGTAACAGTGGCAGACAATGTGAAGCAGCAGTGGCAGACATGAGGTAGCAGTGGCAGACAACATGAAGCAGCAGTGACAGACAACATGAAGCAGCAGTGACAGACAACATGAAGCAGCAGTGACAGACGTGAAGCAGCAGTGGCAGACATCATGAGGTAGCAGTGGCAGACAACATGAAGCAGCAGTGGCAAAGTGTAGCATTAAGAGTGTAGCAATTAAGTGTAGCATTAAGAGTGTAGCAATTAAGTGAAGCATTAAGAGTGTAGCACTTATAAGTCACTGACATTTTTGGGTTATCCTAGGTTCTCTACACATGTAGTCAGGAGCAGGAATGG